GGCAGTCCACAGCAAGCAGTGAAATGGGCCTTTTTGGAAAACAAATCGATTACTGTCCAAATTACTGTGTTTCCCCCACTTTCTGGGAGTTTGACTATGAAATCCATCTTGATCCCTTCCCAAGGTCAACTGGGGCTTGCCACTTGCTGAAGGAGTCCAGGCAGTTTTCCTGGTCTTGTCTTCATCGCTGCACACATGGCACAGCTTTTTATGTAGTCTTTCACTTCTGCTTTCATTTTTGGCCACCAGAATTGCCTTCTAGCAAGGTGCAGGGTCTTCAGGAATCCAAAATGGCCGGCCAGCTTGGAGTCGTGGCTGCGCGGGAGCACTTTGAGTCTCAGGCTTGAGGGGACATACAATTTAGAACCTTTCCATGCCAATCCATCCCTCATCATCAAGACGTCTTTATTGTCTATGAGTTAAGGGTCTGCTGGTAGTGCCACTCAACTTAGCTATCAATCCATCCTGGGTTGGCTTGGGTGGCCGTCTGGCTTGGCTCCTGGTGGTGACTTGGGCGGCTGATTGTGAGGGGGGAATGATGGTGTGGACCACTTCCTCCCGGCAGCTGTCAAATTGAGGTTTTCTCGATAGGGCATCTGCTAACAGGTTTTTTTCCTGCTGGGATGTACTTCAGTTCAAAATTGAAGCACTTGAAATATTGAGCCCAGGGAACTTGTTTGGGAGAGAGTTTCCTGGGGGTCTTTAGGGCCTTGAGGTTTTTGTGATCCCTCCAGACCTCAAAAGGCACTTTACTCCCCTCTAGGAAATGTCTCCAAGATAGCAAAGCCCATCAAACTGCATAAGCCTCTTTTTCCCAGATGGCCCATCGTCTCTCTGTGTTGTTTAGCTTTTTGGACATATAGGCACAGGGTAACAACTGTCTTTGTTGTTCCTTTGAAGGAGTACCACAGCCACTGCCACATCGCTGGTGTCGGCTTGTATGACAAATTGTTGCTCCGGATCTGGGTGCTGCAGAATCAGTTCTTGGGCAAACAGTCTCTTTAGTTTTTCAAAGGCTTTTTCGCAATCCATTGTCCAAGCAATTGGTTGGGTCAGCTATTGTTTTGTCAGAGGGGACCCCATTTTCAAAAGTTCGGTTATGGGTAGAGCCACCTCCGCAAAAGCTGGAATGAACTGTCTATAGAAGTTAGCAAACCCCAGGAAGCTCTGAAGTTGCCTGTAGGTACATGGGGATTGCCAATCAAGTACTGCTTTCACTTTCCTTGGGTCCATCTCCACACCTCCGCTGGAAATTTGGTAGCCCAAGTATTCTAGGGAGTTCTTGTGAAACTCACACTTTGACAGCTTCGCGTAAAGTTTGGCAGCAAGGAGTATTTTCAGCACTTGGCGGACAAGTTTCACGTGCTCCTCCAGGGTCTCACTGAATATGAGAATATTATCTAAGTAAACAAGGACCCCCTTATACAGGTGCTCATGCAGAACTTTTTTAATGAGCTCCATAAACATTGCGGAGGGGGCCTTGCAATCTGAATGGCATTACTTTAAATTGGAAGCTGCTGAATGGGCAGTTGAAAGCAGTCTTCCATTCATCCCCTTCTCTGATTCTTATACGGTAGTAGGTTTCCCTCAGGTCTAGTTTGGTGAACACCTTGCCCTTCGACAAATGGTTAAGCATGTCTTTCATGAGGGGAAGGGGGTAGGTGTTTTCCACACAGACAGTGCTGATTCCATGAACATCAACGCAAAGCCTCATCCCCACATCTTTCTTCTCCTTGAAGAGTACTGGGGCCGCCACTTTAGATTTTGCGGGCTGGATGAGTCCTTGCTTCAGATTGGTATCTATGTACTCCCTCAATTCCCCCATCTCTTTCAGAGTCATGGAGTACATTTTCAGCTTAGGCAGTTTGGCCCCTGTACAAATTCTATTGCGCAGTCAGTCGAGCGGTGAGGGGGAAGAAAGTTGCAATCCTCTTTGCTGAAAACCCCTGATAGGTCTCGATATTCTTTTGGCACTTGTTGGCTGTCAGGTGGGGTGTTGCGGGGTGGGGCTGCAGGTTCAGGTGCGCTGACACCCTCGTGGCCTCTAGGAGGTGGTCCTGCTTCACAGGTGGCAATGGTCCAATACCTATGACTAGCTTCCGATAACCGCCCTCCCAGGAGATTGTGGGGCTCCACTTCTCTAGCCACGCAAGTCCCAATATGACTGAGTCGGTCATCTTTGGGGCGACTATGAACCAGAGGAGTTCTTGGTGGTGACCCATCTCCAGTCTGACTAGTTCGGTGACTAAGGTGGTAGGGGCCCTGCCAATCAGCGGCCCGTTGGCTTGCTCAAAGCTGATGGGGTGTGCCAGGGGCCTTCTGCGTATGCCTAGTTGCTCGACTGTGAGGGCTGATCAGGCATCTGGTTTCTGGTACTACCAGCAGGATTTTGAGAGCAAAGGGGTGAAGAGTTCCCCTGATCACGGGGTCGTCATCCCCGCTGCTTCCCTCGGCCTGTTTTGGTTTGTAGTTAGCTAAGATAAACCTGGAAAACTCTCAGTGGTGGAAGTCACATTATCAATGTAAGCACAGCTTTTAGAGGAAGTTGGGACAAGCCTTCCGGCTGCATTTTCTAGAGGGATTCGGTTACTAAGGCAACACTAATGGGATCTTAAATTCCAACTACATTCATGCAGGCCCAACACTTTCTCAAGGCACTAAATCATAAATTTGCCACTATTGCAGCAAATGCAAACATGCTCTTTTCCGCAAAGGAATTTCCTCCCCCAAGGAGGGACCAGCCCTGCCTCTTAGAAGAACAGCCTCAAAGGAGAGAAAAGGGGCTTGCTGGAATTCCTCCTTGACTCCCAGGTAGCTTCCTCAAACTACCTAGGAAGCTGTACAAGCCCTAAAGCACTTGAATGAAAGATTAGTAGTTTACTAATCCAGCCTGGTTGATTCATTCTTGCATTTCACTGGTCTAAAACCTTAACCCATTACAGCTTGATCTTTTTTGAGCAAGCTGGAATAATTGACAGTGTCTTGCATAGACTCTGAAAATCAACACAAAGTTGACACAGTTGAGAAACACTGCCCAGAGTGAAGGAGGGCACTGTGGAGTGGACATTCCAAAACTCTTGTGTGCGTGTGTGTGTTTTACACTAAAAGACTCCCTAATCCTGTTGAAAAGTCCTTTTCTCAAGAGGCTTTGCCCGAGGCTTAAAACAGAAGCTGATGGTATACTACAAAGGGTGGCATGTGGGCACCCTACAAAGGTCTTCCAGGGAGTAACAGGCTCAGAGGTCATGGGGGAGTCCTTCTCGCTTCAGTAGTCTCTCTCACTAGTCTGTGAGCTTTGCTCCACCAGGACAGCATGCTCAATGAAGCGTTGAACTCCTGGCGGGATTGTTGAGAAGAGACAAAGAGGTGCCTTCCAACTCTCTTGTTTAAGACACCGGTTGGATTGGATTCTATTGCTTGTGCTTGCATTATATTGAATTCCAATATGACGTGGTCACTCTTGCTCAACGTCTGGCAACTTTAACTCCCTCCATCTCTTTTTCTCTATTAGTAAGAATTAGGTCTGGTACAGCTTTTCCTCTAGTTCCCTCCTCAATCTTTTAGATGACAAAGGTTGAGGAGGGAACTAGAGGAAAAACTATGGCCCTAATAGTGGCCCTAATAGGAGGATGCTGTGAATCAAATGTGCCATTCATAAGAATCTCTTGGAGGTGAGGGCATTAGGAAAAAGCTGGCATTTGTCTGCCAAGGATGCCTTCGAGGATCCCTACCCGAGACCCTCCTGCCAGGGAGGCCACAAAGCTGGCTGCCAAGGATGTCCTAAAAGAAAGCTGCCTGATTCTAGCAAAATGGGCCTGAGGTGAGGCACCAGCCATGTATGCTGATACCTGCCCTGAGGCACCTTCTGGCCTCAAATGTGTGTTTTCCTTGGCTTGGGCAACTCCTGTAGGAAAAGACCATGAGGTGCTGACAGGTGTGCATGTTCGGATTCCACCCAAGGCACCTGGAAGCATCACAGCCACTCCGGAAGCTCCCCCACAAAACCCAGGAGGGTTGCAGCAGCAGGATGGATGCCTGGCTTTAGCAAAACCATACATATCTGAGCGTGCGCCTGTGGCAATGGGGGGGGGGAGAACACAGCTTCCCCTCCCCTCCCCCAATGGCCCTCGGACCCATCTCAACCGCCAGAGGATCAGAAGGAGCATCGCGCAGTTTCTGATTTCCCGCTTTCACTGGAAGCGCCGCCGCTGCTCCCGCGGTTGCCAACAGCCAGAAGGGACCACATGTGGAGATGAACCGGAAGGGCCGCCGGAGCCAGAAAGAGGCCCCGGCTCAGCCCTTCGCGCCTGGCCCGAGGCTCCCACGACCCGAACCTGCTCAGGAAAGCCTTCCGTGCACCGGTGAAGAACGCGCAGGGAGCCGGTTCACTCCGCCTGCCGGAACCCTGCAAGGCTGCCAGTGGGGAGAGGAGACAGGGAGGGAGGGAGAGAGGAAAAGGAAGGAATGGGAAGGGAAGGAAGGAGGAAAGAACGAAGGGAAAGAGAGAGAGAGAAAAAGGAAGGAGGGAAATGGGAATGAGAGACAGGAAGGAAGGAAGGAAGGAAGGAAAAGGGAAGGAAAAGGGGGGAGGAAAGAAAAGGAAAGAAAAGGAAGGGAGGAAAGGGAAGGAAGGAAAAGGGGGGAGGAAGGAAAAGGAAAGAAAAGGGAGGGAGGAAGGAAAAGGGGGAGGAAGGAAAAGGGAGGAAAAGGAAGGAAGGAAAAGGGAGGAAAAGGAAGGGAGGAAAAGGAAGGAAGGAAAAGGGGGGAGGAAGAAAAAGGGAGGAAAAGGGGGAGGAAGGAAAAGGGAGGAAAAGGAAGGAAGGAAAAGGGGGGAGGAAGGAAAAGGAAAGAAAAGGGAGGAAGGAAAAGAGGACGGTAGTAGCACTGCACAGCGGGGAAGAGCAGCAGCAGCTGACTGGCCCCGCCCCTCCCGATGCGCGTGCGCCCTCCCCTCGGCAGGCTTGGGGGCGGGGCGCGCTGTCGCGACCGCGTCAGCGCCTGCGTAGTGGCGCCCAGGGCGCTGAGGGACCGGAGGAGAAGCGCCGCGCCCGCCCGCTCGCCTGCCCGGTCTCCCTCCGCGGAAGGAGGCAGCGGCGCTTCAGGTAAGGCCGGGGCGGTGGCCCAGCCGCCGGAGATCCGACCCGCGGCCCGGGCGCCTGCCCGCCGCGCCGCCCGCCCTCTGGCCCGCTCGGCCTTTGGGGCCCGGAGAGCTCAGCGCGCGGGGCCAGGGCGCGGCGGAGCAGCTCTGAGAGGGCCGCGCGGCGGGCGGGCGGACGCGGCTCTGAGGCGGCGCTGGGCGTTTGCCCGGAGAGGGGCTTGCGGGGGGGCTGCGCGGAAGGGCTGCTTCCCGGGCGGGGGAGGCGCGTCTGTGTGGCCCGGAGGGAGGGAGGGAGGGAGGCCCCGAAGGCTCCCGCGGGGGAAGGGCAGCTGGGGTGGGGGGGGGGGCTGTGCCGCGGGGGCTTCTCCACCTGGGTCTCTAAGGTGTGTGCACCGCAACTCCCAGGATTCCCCAGCCCGCGTCGCTTGGGATCCTGGGAGTTGCAGTCCGCCCGTCTTGAAAGCGGCCCAGGTTGCCCATCAGTCCCACCGGAGGACGTGAGCCTGAAAAAGAGCCTGGAGCCCCTGGGGGAGGCCTTGGTCCACCCTGCCTGTGCTTAGCTCTGAGGCAACGCCGGCCCTTTGAGAGCCGCGTGTGTGCAAGGAAGTTTCATTTTAATGGATGCCGATTAGTGTACATTCAAAGTGACAATAATAAAAGTTATTCTAAGTCCAAGTCTGGCCTTTTTTGGGGGGGGGCACAGGTTGGTGCAAGCCCTTTATGGAAGAAGAGAATCAGCCCCTAATGAAGCCATGCACATTTTTATTTCTGATTTTGGGACTAGATGCTTTAATGGAGGAAATGTTTGGTGGAGGGAACAGTGACTTTGACCTGAATGCTTTAGATTGTATATTTGTGCTTTATGTCTTTGGGGAAAAATAATTCAAAAGCTAAGCATAATATTGATGTCCATCCAGGATTATCTCTGTTGTATTATTGTAACTTGACTGTCTTTTACTCTCATGACTGTCCCTCTGGCTTGGTCTGCTCCTCTTTGAGGGAACCCTCTTATGGGCAATTAGTCAGTAAAAGTCCCAGATTCCTGGAGTGTGATGGGGATGCTGTTCGTGACAAGCTCATCAATCATTTGAGGAAGAGAATTGGGACTTGATATAGTTTAAGTCACTAGAGATCTTTGTACCCATAATTCAAACAGAGTCTGAATTGTGCTGGGCATCTGGAGTCCAGTATATGAGATTTGGGTACTGTAATGAGATTAAAGCTGCAGGACTAATTGGGTTAGAACAGATGAAGCCCGTGGCAGATCTGTCTCTTAAGTAAAGATCAGAATGAAATCTGAAATCCCTGTAAAATACAGGATGAAACCAGTATTCAGGTGGAAGCCAGTGGCTTCAAGTTGTTTGTTTACTGGCCTCTTAAAAAATGATTTGCTAAAGCTGTTGCTCAAATCTTTGATTCAAATGTGATTGAGCAAATTAGCATAATTCTTAGCAAGAACTGGGTGTATGTAAAATATGGCATGCTTGTATCTCTCCAGTTAAATGTGTCTTATTGCAAGCTGGACCACAACAAAATGTTGCAGCATATTCCTGTCCAAGCTAGAGCTAGCTAGCAACCTCTTTCTCCCACCCTACTTTCTGTAGTCTTCATTGAGCTGTCTATGACAACCCACTTCTCCCCCATCCCTTTCCTGTAAAATAAAAAATATTTTTTTCTTGCAAGTCCCCTGTGTGTGAGTGGTGCTCTTTGGCGTATATAATAATTGACATTGTGCACAGTTTACTGTTAAAGAGGAAGTGTAACTTGTTTTGAATGTATTCTTAGATTTAAAATAAACTTGTAGTGGAAATGTTAATACTGTTCTGAGCTTGGAATAAAGCACCTTGCATTCCAAAGCTTTGTTCCAAGCTTTGGACAAAATTTAGTGTGCTCCTTCCATGTTGTTCCAAGCATTCTGATATCCTGTAATTAAAATTCCAGTAAGCCATTCAGAGTTTGTGGGTTCATTTATCATTAGAACAGTAGGCATGGGCATGGCAATTGGTTGGAGTTATTTGAGAAGGAATGGAAGGGGGAGACATTTGAATAGTATTTATTATCAATTATTTAAATGTTTTATAGCCCGACTATTCTAGAAAATTCTGGATAGTTTACAAAAGAGGGGAACTGGAGCACATCAGCAAACAATTGTAGATACATGGTCCCTTGTATAATTACATTCTATGCATTGAAGAGCCTTATATAATACAAAGAGCTTTGTAGGTGACAGCATCTCCCAGAAACCAACTGTCAACCAATACAACTTGTATAGCATCAGTGACATATGGGCTTACCTAGCCAAAAATGCCTGCTGGTGCTGGTGCTACTGCATTTTGAATCAACTGTTTGGTCTTCAAGGGCAGCCTGGGGTAGAGTGCATTATAGTAGTCCAATTACAAGGTGATCAGGGCATGAGTGACCATCTGAAGGGCCTCCCAGTCAAGGAAGGAACACACTGGATGAACCCCCATCAATCGCAAATTGCCCCCATCCAAGACTAACAGTGAAAGCTCACTGACCCAGGGGGCCAAAGAACCACAGCCATTCAGTCTCGACAAACCATTCTGGATTGACCCAAAGTCTGTTCCATTCCATCAGACCTGAACAGTTTCCAACACTAGATTGACACCTTGACAAATTCACTCTACATGGGGCTGCCCTTGAAGACTCACCAGTTGATTCAAAATGCAGTCGTACCAGCAATAGCAAGCATCTTTTGCTGTTTATGCCCTATGATATAAAAGATATAAAAGTGTCACAACCTTATACTGATTATACCAAAACAATGGATGGCTTCAACCAGTGGTTTCATGTAAAGGTTAAACAGGAGGTGTCAAGTTCTGAGGCCCCCCCCAACAAGTGGGTGGTCACTGGCATGATCCCTTCTTCCCCTCCATCAGCATAGTTGGGAATGATCACTGAAGAAGGAGGCAAACCACTGTAATGTTGTGCCTCCAGCCTATGCAGAAGAAATACCATGGTTGCTGATACTGCTGAGACATCAAGGAGCATCACCCCCGCCTTCTCTCCACCAAAGAAGATGGACAAGCACAAATGCTTCGTTAATTAAGGTAGTTGGAATCAGAATTGCTGTCGCTAAACAATACAGTGATAGTGAGACATCATGTGACCATGCCACTTAGTGACAGCAATTCCAGCAGTCCCAGTTGCCATTGTTAAGAGAGGACCACACAGGTCATTAAGCAAGAACCTCACATGACTAGGAGTTCCGACTTCCTGTTGACCTCCCCACTTGCTTGTAGGAAGCTGCCAAAGGAGGTCACACATTGTGGTCACACGACCATGGGGATGCTGGGATGGCTGGAATGCTGAGGACCTGTTGTATCTACTGCTCATAAATATGAATAGTCGCTGAACAAATAGTCGTTAACTGAAGAATCCCTGTACTATATGTACCATCCAGTCAAATAGCAAATGATGTACAGGATGAGGGTGGACATAATTAACATGATTGAAAGGTTGATGTGAAGGTATCCAAAACTGAGTTGCAGCTTGATGGTCCCCAGAGTACCATTGGTTTACAAGGGACTAATATTACTAGAATTAATCTCACAGAGCTGCTATTGCCAGATTTGCCACCACAGGAAAGACAAGAAGCAGACTGAGCTTTGCATGATCCCAACATCTTATCTCTCAAAAGCTTTCTTGGCCTGAAAGCTACCTCCAAGTCATTTTTATATTCTTGTGGAGTGCAGAGAAGAGCACAATCAGCCAAAGTTCTGGCAGATCCTGGGCAAATTAATCTCCAAGGAAGATAGAGCCTTCACAGGTTGAGTAAGAGTTGGCATCGGGCTCATGAAGTATATGTTCCTTCTTTTTCTACCATGTATGGGTTCCATTCTTTCCACATTGTAAAACAGGGCATTCTAGAGCTTAGTCCTGACCAAAATATGATTCCAGACCAAAGTTTGGAAGTAACTTAAAGAGTCAGGGCCTTCTTCACCCTCTCTATTGCAAAAATGGCTCTATGGATATAGCAGGTCATGAGTAACAAAATATTCTGTGGTTCTCCCCCCCCCCAACCCCCCCCAACCCCAACCCCCCAGATTAGCCTGAACATGAACAGGCTCATGGCACCTTAGTATTTCTCCGAGTAACCCTACCAAGAAATCTGGCTATTCAAGAGAGAAATGTTCCAACAAACCCTTGGGGTTCTAACTCAACAAGGAAACCTTTTCAAGTAGGTTGAAAATGCAGCAAAGACCGCCAAGGCGGATTCTGCAGAATAGATGTTAGAGAGCTCCAATTTTGTGCACGTTCAGTAACAGAAAGGCAGCCTTCCATATCAACTGAAATTGCCCAGCCGTTAGTGGAAGGAATTGTAATAATCTGGCAGGAGGACAACTACAGTTTGAGTCACTGCAGCCAAATTAGCAATGGTCAAACCAACTTTAAAGTTAACATTCTGTCACATAGTGTCACAAATTACAAGACTTATAATTTATTATAGCAAAACACTTGTGGAATTAATACGGTATACAGAAAAGTATGTAGGGTATTTTAATTGTTTCAATTATACTGATGCAGCTTTTGCCCAACAAGCAATGTGTTACCCTTCTTTGAAAACCTAATTAACTTTCTTCTATTTATTCATTTCTACATGAAAAAAATTGGTTCTCATTTTTTCATGAATGTACATATGAAATTGCAGATATGAGAAAATGAGAGAAACTTTGGTGCCTTGGCCTAGTCCATAAACTCTCTATAGATTCAAAAAAACTGTACCGATTTCAGAAAGGAAGTGTTAAAGCCAATGTAACTTGAACTATTTTTCTGATTACTAAATCTTCTCATTTATATTTTCAATTAAGAGCCTCATAGTGCTATTGCTCCAAACACACAAATATTTTTGGAGAGATGAGAATCAGATTGGATAAAGATTTCAGATCTATCGGCCAACAATTGCTTAGCATCTAAGTAACAAAGTGCAGGTCACATGCTCTGCTGAATTTGGGAAAAGCAGAAAGAAGAAACAACGGGCTTATACTGCTATGGGTAAAAGAGGGAACACTTACAGAATACAAACAATTTTTAGTGCAATTCAGTCTGCATGCAGTGAAGATACTTATGAAGTCAAATGGTGTCAATGTTTGAAAGGCTTCTACTGGGTTTGGGCTGAGCTGAGCAGGATCCAGGGAGACCAGAGGTATTACTGTAGGATTTGTAGACTGTGCAAAAAGTGCTAGGCAGGGAGGGGCTATTTTCAGGTGTGTGAATAGTTACTATATAAATAACAGCGCCCTCAATTTTTGAAAATCTGTTTTCTTTCTGCAGATTGTTAGTAAATGTATATCAAGCAGGCAGCCAAGAATGAAGAAAGCAAGCCGGAATATTAGTTCGGTGCCCAAAGTGCCTGGAATAACTAAAATGCAAACAGTAGAGAAAGTTAAAACAGAGACCAGTTCCACAACGTCTGCAGTAACAAAACTTCCAAAAGCAGGAACAGCAGCCTCTTTCCTGAAGGTAAGCCACAACTCTTTTGAAGTACGGGGGGATGGGGGGGGATATCAACAGAGGCCCCTAGCATGAGCAGCAGAGAAAATGCGGCAAATACTTGTGTATATTGACAGCTTTTTTATTGTTGCCTCCTTTATGTGGGGTTATATGTTCTCTACAGATAGCAAGTTTTCTAACTAAAGAAATACAGACACTGAGAAAGCAGAACCTGCACTGTTTATGAAGCCTTGCATTTAGAAATAATTCTGCCCTTCAGTGATGCTATTGCAAATTTGTGTTGGATTCATCCAATTAATATTTCTACATTTTCACCCTGTTCCCATGAGGCACTTAATTGAGTCTGGCACTTAGGTACAGCAGCTAGTCCTGAAATTACAACCACTCATTCAGCAACTGTTCAAAGTTATGATGGCTTTCAATGAGTGGTTTTTACAATCGGTGCTTTAGGTTCTGGCTGTGGTTGCATTCCCAGGGCGGGGGAGGGCCAATTGGGTACTAAGCAACCAGCTTGCACCTGCAGTGGTTGCAGCATCCCAGGATCACATGCAGTTGTCACGATTTGCAACTTTTCCTGCTGCTTTTCACAAGCAATGCCAATGAGGAGCCACAGTCCATAGCAAGTAGAGCCTGCAGCCCCCACCAACTCGTGACCCATGCCCACATTCCCTAGGCCCCATTTGCAGCATCCCTGTACAGCAATCATGCACCCCACTATGCTCCTGATCTGAGGGTCATAAAAAGATTAAAAACATAGCAGTTATAAATAATAGCCTATAATGCCCAAGGTAAATAGTGCAATGCAACCAAAAAAGCACATCAACAAGGGAGCTCTAAACTCCTGACCCAAATGTCTGGGAAACAAGCCAGATTCTCAGTGCCTTGCAAAAGGCTGAGTCAGGGCTACCTGTATCTGTAGGGGATGCTGTTCCATAAGGCAGGTGCTGCCACAGAAAAAAACATGATTTCTCTGTCCAACAAGATGATGTATTTTAAGTGGAGGGGACCCAAACCATGCTCCACTGCTTGCCCCACTCAATGCCACAACTGGTGGGGCAAGCAGAAACCATGGGAGAAAGGCAGTCCTACTCTACAAAGGAGAGAGTGGTCTTGGCAAAGAGTGAAGTTCTATTATACCAAGGCAATAAACAGATGAACATAAACTTTAGTTCCTACCAAGGTAGAGATTTATGAAAGCAGCCTTCCATTCCCAATTCATATGACAATACAAGGCAGGAGGGGAAGTATATTCAGACTTGTGACTATAAATATTCTAATAAAAGTGGTTAGGGTTGGACATGTCTGTTTCCTGGTCTACATTGTAGGGCTGATATCTGCAAATAGCCTGACTCTAGGCCACGCAGGATTTTATAGATTACAACTGCCTTGAATCACACCTGGAAGCTTACTGGGAGCCAGTGCAGCTTGCAAAGTAGAGATGTTAGATGGATGTAGCAAGAGGTACCAAAAACTACTTGCGCTGCTGCATTCTGGACCAATAGCAGCTTCCAAATGATCTTCAAGGACAGCCCCACGTAGAGGTCATTGCAGTAATTCAATTGGGAGGTTACTGGCATGAGCCAAATGAGCCAGAAACTGGTGCATTTGGTGCACAAGTCAAACCGTGCAAAGGCACCCCCAGCCATGGCTGCCACTTGCCCTTGAGCAGGAACCAAGAGGACTTCAGGTTGCACACTTGATTCTGATTGGGTAAGTGTACCCCCAGGCAAGAGCCAGAGATGGGAAATCTCCCAAGTGGGGGGCTTTAAACCCACCGCTCCGCTTGCCAGAGTTCAGCCAAACCTAATTTCATATCCTGGGCCTTGGCAATGTTGCTTGGTCAGCCAAGAAGGATACAACTGTGTATCAAATAGGATGTCAGGGTTCCAAGTAACATACCCATAGCAAACAAAACTCTTGAGGCAGGTAGATTCCTCAAAGAATGATTTTATTAGATATGTCATATTGGCACAGGCTGGTGAAAACCAACTGACTATTCCTGCGGTTTTTGCCTAATTAAAAGTAATTAGTAATTTGAGAAAGTTGTCACTTTCTCAAAACAGTCACATGGTCCAATCAGGATACCTGTCCCGTTACTAGGTGACTCCAGTCCCCTCCTTCCAAGCACCTGCAGGAATGTCCTAGGTTCCCAAGAGAAAGTATTTTGTTTTGACTACAACACCCCAACTATCTATTCCCCCCTCCCTGTCCCTCTTCTCCAGTGTGTCAGTGCTGAAGTCTCAACATGGCCTCAGTCAGGCCAGCTTCAGCGTTGACATAGGAGTGGTAATAGCAGAATTGGAAGGGACTTCGAGGTCTTCCAGTCCAGCCCCCTGTTCAAGGAGGAAACCGTATACCATTTCAAAGTGAATGTGGTGAGGAAGTAGAGCCCTAAAGCACCCCACAGACATGGGCTTCAAGCTTGACTCCTCCTTGGATCCAGCACTGACTGGAACCAACCTTGACGAAAGGAGAAGATCTGTGATACAGGGCCTCCCACTCCGGATCTCCTAAGGATGTTATTGGATGTCACAATCAGTGGTATCAAATGAGGTCAAGGAGGACTAGGATGGACGCACTATCTCTATCCTGAGCCTGCCAGAGGTTATCCAGTGTGATCAGTGCCATTTCAGTATTGTCACTGGGCTGATTCCTGACTGAAAAGAGTCCATATAATCTATTGCTTTCAGGGACCTTTGGAGCTATAAACCAACAACTTCTCTAAAAAGGGAAGGTTGAAGATTGTACAAAAAGGTCAGATCTGTTGGGTCCAGTATTGGGCTTCAAGGCAGATGGGACCATAACCTCCAGCAAGAGGGTCCCTCACCTCCCATAAGACATTGATCAACCAGGAGGAACAGGGAACTGAAATACTGATGTTTGAACTCACAGCCCCAAGAACCCTGTTCGGTTCTCAGAGCAACATCAGAAACATCAGGGCTAGTAGGTTGAACTCTTCCCAATAACTGGGCCAGGCTATGCCTCAGGCAATTGCAAAGGACCGGTACAGTCAGATTCCAACTCTGAACAAATCTGAGTGGCTAGAATAGTTCTCAGCACAGCCCTGCAGATATCTCTGTGGCCACTCCTTGCCCAGGAGGGACCAAGCTACTCTGGCCACTGCTTCACATTTGTATGATAGGCATAGATGTCTTGCTACCCAGGATTTGGTGTACCTTATTTACTTGGTTGAATGGGGCTGCCTGCACTCAGGAATTCAGGCCTCTCTGTTGAGTGATCATTAAAAATTCATGCATAGTAATTATAAGTGTGTTAGCAAATAATAACTAGGGTTTGAAGGCTTACAGTTTATTTACATGCCATTGGATCTATTAAGAGTCCCAGCAGCTAACAATAATAATAAAGTAGAATGATGTGAGTTAATTAAAAGCACGGCATTATAATTCACATACCCATCATAGTTACTTATTAAATGTCTGTCAAACTGACAAGTTTTAAGGAGGTTATCCTGACTTGGGAAGTAAAAGAACTAGAAGCAAAGATGATTTGAATAAGCTGATTCAATGGGTAGAAAATAATGTTGTTTTTGCCCATTCAATTTTTTCTCAACAAAAACTCTTTTTACTTTACACTGGTAGAACTTGTTCAACTAGTTGTGGAACTCTACATTTTTTGATGCATGGCAGTTTGTGGGCACTGAGGAGGGAAATCATTATCTTTATCTAAGGAAGAAGCTTAATATTTCTTTCCTTCTATGTTCAGAGCAGCTCAGCAAAAAAATCAGTGCAAGTTTTCTGAGTTTTCAGCCCAAGTAATCCTTAAATTATGGCCATATTTTCAACAACTATTCAAAGTTGCAGAGGCGCTAAAGAAATGATGGATAGAACGCGTCTTTGGAGTTCCAGCTGTCCCAGCATCTCTGCAGTTGCATGATCACAATCTGGGCTCGCACTTATGACCGGCCTATGACCATGTGATCGGCATGTGCGACTTTCACTGCTGACTTCCACAGAAAGTCAAGGGGGAAGCTGGCAGGGAAGATCACAAGTCCCTGGGGTAACCTCTCTCCCCTCCCGCGATGCCAGCCATTCCCACAGCCCCACGCCTGCCCTCTCCCCCACCTGGCATCAGCCTCCCTGCCCACCTGCTTGAGAGCTGCTGAGTTGGCTTCCAGCAAGCAGGAAGTTGCCTAGTGAAACCACTCTGGGATTTCGTTAATGGTGGTGACTGCAAGAATTGCCGTCACTAAGCGATGCAGTTGTGCTTTATGACTGCATCGCTTAGCAATTGAAATTCTTTTTTTTCCCCAAAAGAAACATTTTTATTTTTATTTCTCATAAACATATTTACATTTACAGTCATTTATCCACCATTTTTCATTCACCTTATCTTTTAACTTTCATTTTTAATTTTTACTTATTCGGGGATGCTCTTTTACCATTTACCCTTCTTTATTTGCTTAGCAATTGAAATTCTGCTCTCAATTGCTGTCACAAGTCGAGGGCTACCTGTATATGTTTTCAAATTAGTTTCTTCGGTATTATGCCTGGTATGTAATTACTTTTTTTTAATTGTATTTTTTTAAATTTCCAGTATTGTATCTCATAGTAGGTTCCCCTTCCCCTCCTCCACCTTCTTCCCATCTTCTCTTCATATACCAGAGTTTGATTTGTTCTCAATTTCAAAATGGTTTTATTTGACATGTTTTATCTTCTTTTGAAATTTTGTCATTTCCAATAAATTAATTGTTGCTTAACTTTATTTAATTCTTTCAATGCTTGTTCATCTAGACTGCTTTTATGAATCTCTTTTAATTGTGATTTACATCTATTATGGCCGTTTTTCTGATTTGCAGCAAGCCCAGCTCTGATTCCTCTCATAAGCTTTACATGCCTCCCATGACATCCCTGGAGTTGTAGTTACTTTTTAAAAAATAATTTGCAATTCTGCTGTGTGCTTTCTTGAAGTACTGTCACCACCCTATAGTGACATCACCCTCTGAAGGTGGGAGGAGCTTCTTCCCGGCTGCATTTGGAAGCCAAGAGGGTGACCCATGCCGGTCACCATTTTCAGCGTGGATTCTTGCAGGCTGAATCATGAAGCACTTTTTACAACTTGACCTATTTAGTTCCTTAATGGACTGTTCTTACCTACGCAGCATGTCTGTAATTAACCTACTTAACTTTTTAAAAAAAACCTAGAAAAAACCCAGATGTGATAGAAATGCAGTTGGTGAGAAGGAATGCTTAATCTGGGTAGGTCTGTTAAGGATGAGTGGATCCTCCATGCAAAGGATGAGAAATTTGTTCCATTGTGTTGCTGGGATTTATTTATTTTTTTAGTCTTCATCCGTCACTGTGCCTTTCTGCAATAGATAAATGGAAATGTTTTCATCTGATCATGACAAGAAACCAGACAAAAGATTTTCATAACCACTCCATGCAGATAAAAAGACAAAATCTAAAATAAAAAATTGCTACCTACATTAAACAAGCAGTTACACTTCCAATTTTTTTTTTTAAAGTATGTGGGCTGGAAACAATGTTAAATCTTCTGTGAAACTTATTTTCATTCTGACAATTTTTGTCCTTTTAATTTCAAATGCAGGTGCATGAGTTTATTTTAATTCCCCCAAAAAAAATTTCATAATTTTTTACTTGTCACTCTGTGAGAGAAATGGGCAGTTTCTAAATGTGATACACAAATAAATAAAATATAAATAAATAATATTGATCACATTGCATATTCCATTTTAACTCTTTGGGATGAATAATAAGGAAGGGTTTGTTAAATTGGACACTTAGAGGGGTTCAGTGCAAAGTGTACAGATCCACCTCAAAGGCAGCCCTTTTAATGTGTACGACTCAAAGTTCATGGGTTGGAGCCATGTCTAAAAATGCATTGATTTGATTTTATTATACTTAAAATTAAATATAATTATTGTATTTAATAGGTTTTCCTTGTATTAAAGTTTAGTGGGCAATTCCCTCCTGACTTGGAGGCTTTCTGGGCTTTTTTTTTTTTTTTTGTCTGTAGTGCCAGGCTTCCATGGCAGGAGATACAGAAGGAGTCACTAGTATGTAAAGGCACAAACACTCTGAGAAGAAGAATAGCCTGGCAGTGGGAGGGCCTGTTATGAAGGCATTTTTGGCCATACCTGATGGCACCTTGTTAGGAGAGAATGCCAAGGCTTTTTGTACAAATAGTCCTTGATTTATGACCACAGTAACCCCAAAAATAAGCAAGAGAGATGTTTAAGTGAGTTTTGCCCCATTTTACGACCATTTTGCTATAGCTGTTAAGTGAATCATGCGGACATTAAGCAAATCTGGCTTTCCCCATTGACTTTGCTTTCGGAAGCAGACTGGGAAGGTTACAAATAGTCACGTGACCCCAGGACAGGGCAGCTGTCATAAATACATGCTAGTTGCCAAGCGTCCAAATTTTGATCAGTGTGCCATTCTTTCCCTTCAGGGAAGAGGATTCAACTATGTTTTATATGCAGGAATGCTGATTTATTATTGTTGTTGTTGTTGTTGTAAGTAATTATATTTTAATTCCAAATCTTTTACATTAATTTGTATTTATCATATGCCACCCGCCTCTCAGAAATTTGACTCTTGGCATGTGTGCCTATAGTTAAAAAAAAAAGGTTGAGCTTCTGACCGGAGACGCTTAATGCACGGCTTTACCCCTGTCCTGCAGACAAAGAGCAACGATGATCTTCTAGCTGGAATGGCTGGAGGGATGAACGTCAGCAACGGTGTCAAGGGGGGGAAGAAGAACGTTTCTACCTCAACAGGCCCTTCTGCTGCAGGGAACACCACCATGAATCCTGTGGAGAGCAAATCAAAGTCCACTGCAGGTACAGAGGCAAAGGTCTTTTTCTTAAGGCCACGGGGGCTTATCTAGCAAGGGACGTTGGCTGCAAGGTGCTTTTTCAAGAGGCAACTGGACTTTCTGGTTTTTCTTTGAAGACTTTTCGCTTCTCATCCAAGAAGCTTCTTCAGCTCTGACTGGATGGTGGGGAATGGAAGGATTTATACTCCTTGCAGACAGCTCGTTCTTTGCTTTCTTTTAGTTAAGATCACCTGGAGGTTTGTCATCAGGGTCACCTGAGTGGTGCAAATGGTGTTGGAGCCTTCTTGGAACTGTTGAAGGACTGTGTTGTAGACTGGAGATAGATGATGTCCTCCCCCTCCCCCTCTGTTGAGGGAGGGCTGTTCAGTTTGGACATAAATGGCCTCTTTGACCCCTCTTTCAAACCAGCGGTCTTCTCTGTCCAAAATCTGGACTTGGCTGTCTTCAAAAGATGGCCTTTGTCTTTGAAATGCAGATGGACTGCTGAATCTAGCCCTGTTGGGTTTGTTCTCCTATGTTGTGCCATGCGCTTATGAAGTGGTTGTTTTGTTACCCCAATATACAGATCTGCACATGGCTCGCTGCATATACCACGGTGCTCAGTTTATATGTGGGTGTTTTATCTTTGGGGTGGACAAGCTTCTGCCTTACTGTATTCTTGGATTTGAAGTGTGCACGTATGTTACGTTGGCTGAAGATCCTCCTGAACTTTTCCGATATGCCTGCAATGTATGGAATGACAACGTTGCTTCGTTTATTGTTTTCTTCATTATGTGCTATGGAGGCTCTCCTGTAGGGTCTTTTTTGAGATTTGATGAAGGCCCACTTGGGATAGCCACACGTTCTGAGGGCTTCCTTGATATGTTTTCATTCTTTTTCTTTCCTATCTTTGCTAGTGCCTACAGCTTGGTGGTGTAGGGTTCTGATGACTTCCATTTTGTACTCCAGTGGGTGGTGGGAATCAAAATATAAATATTGATCTGTGTGGGTGGGTTTTCTGTAAACTTCAGTGTTAAGGCTTCTGTCTTTCTTAATGTGTACTGCACAGTCCGGGAAGGCTAGACTATTTTCCTGTGTGAATTTGATGTATCTGTCCACAGCATTCATATGTTTGGTGAATGCTTCCAATTCCTGTGTTTTGATCTTGACCCAAGTATCGTCCACATCCTATACCAGGGAGTGGGTGGAATTCCTGTAAAGGAGTCTAAGGCTTTGGTTTCTATCTCTTCCATGTTTGACCCTGATGACAAAGATAAATCTCCAGGTGATCTTAACGACTCACTAAAAGAATTCAAATATCCAACTGTCTGCAAGGAGTATAAATCCTTCCATTCCCCACCATCCAGTCAGAGCTGAAGAAGCTTCTTGGATGAGAAGCGAAATGTCTTCAAAGAAAAACCAGAAAGTCCAGTTGTCTCTTGAAAAAGCCCCTTTGGGACAACCATGACCTGGAGGACTGAGAATCTCCATAGACACTGCATGGTGCTAATTCTCATTAACAGTTAGTGGTGCCCAGTTAATCTCTGGGCTCAGAACCTAAGCAGGCATGGGAGACCACCATGTAATTTCAGTTTGACTAGATTGACAAGTAAAAAAAAATGGGAAAAGTCAATGGCCAATCATTCCGTTATTCCTAAAAAATCTACATGGCTGGGTCTCAATGAAATGAGTCCAGCTCAGCTCGAAGGGGGCTTGTTCATATATCATGGCATACTATATGACATGCTAGTCAGGACATGGTTAGTTCATATTCAATTACCCAGGATCATGAACAGATTACTTACTTGTGCATTTGTTATATTTTAAAATTAAGTTTACTGCTGACTATAATTGAACATGATACCTAAATTAGCAAACAGAGATTACTACTTCCCGTACTCTCCATATCAGAACTACAAAATTATTTTGAATTCTGGTTTTGGAGAAGTAGTAAACAATAGTGCTTGTGAAAGGAAGACCTTGGTACAGTCTTTGACTGCAAGCTGAGTAGTGATCATCAGTGCAACTGGAAAAATGAAGAGCTCCATTTTGGTCATCTGGTTATGAAACTTTCTCAGAGACTTATCAGGGACCTACTATGTTGTTGTTTCCCCTATATGTAGTACATATGTAGTACTCAGCATTAACTTTTATGGCTTATTGTGGTATGATTATTTTTATTTTGTATGTTGCTACACACAATTGTTTAATCATTAACTTCCAAGTATGTGCATTAGAATTTAAAGTCACGTATTCCTGAAAAAAATATTACTTTACCTTTTACAAAATTGTGTCTTTACCTACCAATTTACTATTTTTTAAAAAACAACACAGGTACAAATTCTTCAGCTAAGCGTAGCACTTCATCTGGAAATAAGGAATCCAGCTCTTCTCGGGAAAGAATTCGTGACCGTTCGCGACCAACTCAAAGCAAAAAACTGCCCCTGACTAGTCAGACGAGCAGTGATGTCCTTCTTGCAAAACGTTCCCGCAGCCGTGCCAGTCAGGATTCTGATGTTCGCATGAGCAAGTCAAAGTCAGACAATCAGATCAGTGATAAATCTGTTCTAGAGGCGAAAGTGAAAGATCTCCTGATGCTAGCCAAAACAAAAGACGTTGAGATCCTCCACTTAAGGAGTGAACTAAGAGAGATGCGTGCTCAGCTGGGCCTTCAGGAAGATCCGTTTGAGGGTGATGAAAAATCTGAGGATAAAGAAACAATTGTGATCCACCAGCCGACTGATGTAGAATCCACGCTGCTGCATTTGCAAGAGCAAAACTCTGCCATACGAGAGGAGCTGAATCAGCTAAAAAATGAAAACCGGATGTTAAAAGATAGATTAAATGCCTTGGGTTTTTCTCTAGAGCAAAGGTTGGATAATTCAGAAAAGCTGTTTGGCTACCAATCTCTGAGCCCAGAAATAACAACTGGAAGCCACAGCGATGGTGGAGGAACTCTTACTTCTTCTGTAGAAGGTTCCGCTCCTGGTTCCATGGAAGATCTTTTAAGTCAGGACGAGAATACTTTGATGGACCATCAGCACAGCAACTCCATGGATAACCTAGACAGTGAGTGCAGTGAAGTGTATCAGCCGCTCACTTCCAGTGACGATGCTTTAGATGCTCCCTCGTCTTCAGAGTCGGAAGGATTGCCAAGCATAGAGACCTCAAGAAAAGGGAGCAGTGGCAATGCCAGCGAAGTGTCCGTGGCTTGTTTGACAGAACGGATTCATCAGATGGAAGAGAATCAGCACAGCACAGCAGAAGAACTTCAAGCAACTCTTCAGGAACTTGCAGATTTGCAGCAAATTACCCAGGAGTTGAACAGTGAGAATGAAAGGCTTGGAGAGGAAAAGGTTATCCTCATGGAATCTTTGTGCCAGCAAAGTGATAAGTTGGAACACTTTAGCCGACAAATCGAGTATTTCCGCTCTCTTTTAGAGGAGCATCATATATCCTATGTTATTGATGAAGACATGAAAAGTGGACGCTACATGGAGCTAGAGCAACGTTTTATGGACCTTGCAGAGAATGCACGTTTTGAAAGAGAGCAGCTTCTGGGTGTCCAGCAGCATCTGAGCAACACTTTGAAGATGGCTGAACAAGACAATAAGGAAGCCCAAGAGATGATCGGGGCATTGAAGGAACGGAATCACCACATGGAGCGAATTCTTGACTCAGAGCAGAAAAGCAAGGCCACTCTGGCAGCTACCTTGGATGAGTACAAAGCTACTGTCTCCAGTGACCAAATTGAGATGAACCGGTTAAAAGCACAGCTAGAACACGAGAGGCAGAAAGTTGCTGAGCTCTATTCTATACACAAATCGGGTGATAAGTCAGACATCCAGGACTTGCTAGAGAGCGTCAGGCTTGACAAAGAGAAAGCAGAGATGATAGCCAGCAACTTACAGGAAGAGCTTGCTCGGACACGTAACGATGCCAATCGTCTCCAAGATGCCATTGCAAAGGTAAAGGTCCGAAAATGTGTTTGAATAGGAAGGCTTTCCCAGGTGTGTTGAAAGTGGGAGGCAGACAAATCACTTGGAAGCTTCTGTGAGCCATATGCCTGACCTCCCGGACCTGTCCTTCGGTTCTCCCTTAAGTGCCTAGAGCTAGTGCTGAGCTGCTCTGCTTCAGGCCCACTCTGTCCTTCAAAGTTAAGCCTCACTTTCCCTCAGAAGGATAAAGGTAGGAGTGCCATCCTTCTGTTTCACCTGTGAGCAGGTATACAAACATAGATGTATCCAGTGGTGATGAGAGGGGTTTCAGTAACATGTTAAATACATTGGCCTGAATAAAAATTGGAACTAACCATAATTGAGTTTTCCACATCAGGGAGCATACATGACTCACAGCTTGAGGGTGTGTGGACTTCAACTCAGGAAGGCTGAGTGCAAGGCTGACTGGGGAATTCTGGGAGTTGAAGTCCACACGTCTTCAAGTTGCCAAGGTTAAGAAAGACTGATCTTGTTCAAAGAATTCTCAGGCAACTGGCAAAGGATAAGAGCCGTGGTGGTGCAGTGATTAGGATGCAGTACTGCAGGCTACTTCTGCTGACTGCCAGAAGTAGTTCAAATCTCACCAGGCTCAAGGTTGACTCAGCCTTTCATCTTTCCAAGGTTGGTAAAAGGAGGACTCAGATTGTTGGGGGCAATAGGTTGACTCTGTAAACCGTTTAGAGAGGGCTGTAAAGCACTGTGAAGCGGTATATAAGTCTAAGTGCTACTGCTATTGTCAGGCTGACACCTCCGAGGAGCTACTGGAGGCAGGAGGCTAAGCTGGAGTGGTGTCTGGTTCTCACATTGATAGGAAGCTAATAACTCTTTACTTATTCAGTTATTGCACTATCTAGCATGATAGCGTAAAGGGAGACTTCAGCCGAGATAATTGGCACTCTCCAGTGTGTAATACAAATTTAATCCTGGACACAAATGTTGAAATCTGTTTGGAAGAAGCAATTAGAGTCTGGCCATTTGTCTTAAATTAGATAGAGGATGAGTACAGAGCTTTCCGAGAAGAAGCCAAAAAGCAAATTGAGGATCTGAACATCACCTTAGAGAAAATACGCACAGATTTGGAGGAGAAGGAGACAGAAAGGAGTGACATGAAAGAAACCATATTTGAACTGGAGGACGAAGTGGAGCAGCATCGAGCAGTGAAACTCCACGACAACCTCATCATCACTGACTTGGAGAGTAAGTAGCCTCTCGGCTTTCCCTGGGACTTTTGCAGTTGCTTTTCTCGGTGTGCTGCTGGCATCTCACCAGTTCTCCAGAATTTTTTTAAAAAAACATTATAGGTAATAGTTTTGAGTTCTGGTTCTGGGAAGGTATGACAGGTTCTTATTATACCACCACTGTGACTCTTAAACTGTGCCTGCCCCTTCCCTGGGATCTGGCGCGTACACACACACACACACACACACACACATACACACACACACACACCCTTTGAAGCCTTGAAGGGCTAGGCAGTTTTCCTCCAGCCCTGGAGTCGAGGAAGGTTGGAGCATGAATGGATGGATTGGAGGTGGTGGGTCAGGAGCCTGGATTTCTTCTTTTGGCTTGCTTTTGCTTTTATTATTGTTGCAAGCCCCCAGCCAGAGTTGTGTTTTATGAGATAGGTGGCCATTTAGATCTTTTAAATAAAGAAAATGCATGATCAAATCTGCAGATACATTTGATTTCATTTGTGAAAGAAATGCATCATAGATGCAAATAAAATAGAGATGGCAAAGATGTTTATGAAATCAAGATTTTATAAACATGGGGATTATTAACCTGCACTTAGAATAGAGGTAATATTATGCTCCTCTTGTTGAAATATTAAAATAGAGTAAGGGATTTGAAAACAAATTTTAAGCGGACTAAGGTTTTATCAACACGGCCCCAATTATTTTTGTATGGCATTGTAGAAAATATTGTCTTGGGAGAGCTTAAATGTTAAGATTAGAGATTTGGAATTTACTTGAGGAAGCGGGATATGGAATGCAGGTAATTTTGGATAAAATGGATTATAAGCTTTTCAGTGGAAGGGGATGTGGGAAGTGAAGGGTGAAATCAGGACATTTGACAAGGGTCAAAATGGTGATAATCGGGGTTAGGGAAGTAGAAGAGCATGAGGGTGAAGGAAGAGATGCCAGGCATTTCAGAGAAGCCATTTGGACAATAAAGGAGCTTGGGAACCCTGGGCACTCCATGCTCAGTGAGGCATCGTGAGGAGAACTGGCCTCCAGACGATTAGTTGAAGGACAACCTGTGGCACGTGAGCTGCGGAGGCAGCACTGCCAGCAAGCCTTCTTAGAATCTGCCAGGGAAAGTCGGGCATTATTGTCCTAAGTGCTACAAAAGGGGAAGGGGGAGAGAGTGCAGCTTTGAGCTTGCAGGGTCTGGCCTGAAATGAAACTGAGAGGCAGGGATGGGTAGCCCAGCGTCTGAATAAGAAGACTACGGAGTGCTGATAAGTGATGTGGAGAGAGGTACGTAGTCTTTACTTGGCTGGGAAGAATATGTAAGGTGCTTTCTATGTTGTGCTCTCCAGGGAGCGCTGGAGAGGGTTGATGAGGGCACCCCCTGAGAAAAAAGAAGGGGCCAGGAGGAGAGATCTGGTAGGGTTGATGGGCACTTCCCAGCCTGAGATACCTGAGGAAAATTGGGGAGAATCTTTAGTTTGACGGGCAGGCAAGGCAAGGCAAGATGGGTGGTTGGAAGGAATGCTTACTGTGTATGTAATGAACCAGCGTATTCTGGGGAAGTGACCACCCAAGGTGGCTAACACTGGCAGAATGAGTGCAGTGCATGAAAATAAGAGGGCGGGTTCAGTTCTCTCTGGGTTGGGTCAGCCTTGTGTGGGAGTCCAAACAAGAAACACACCCAGATGAACTAATCCTACTTTATGGTAAGATTACATTAACAGAACCCCGCAAGTTCCCTTCCTCTCGTTTTAGACAGTGGAAAAATAGGGAGGGTCTCTTCTGAAATGCTTCCCCATCTGCAGATTGAGCTACCTCTTATCAGGCTGCAGGTCTTCCTCTTATCTCCCAAAACTGTTCCACATACCATTACAGGTTGTCTGGATGGGGGCCTGAATTGAAACCATGATGGGCTGGGGAAGGTATGGCGACAGATGCAGGGTGGGCCATTCACACTTCCTAAGCCAGCTGTCCTGATTCACCAACTCCCCTACAGAAATAAAAGGACGTTCCTGTCAGTGGCTGTCTCTTTTTTTTGTAAATTTGATTTATATGCCGCCCTTCTCCGGAGACTCAGGGCGTTAAGCAATAGCCTTCATACTTTTGTATATTTATACAAAGTCAGTTTATTGCCCCCACAACTGGCTCCTCAATTTACCTACCTTAGATAGGATGGAAGGCTGAGTCAACCTTGAGCTTTGGCGAGATTCGAACCTGCAGTAATTGCAGGCAGCTGAATGATAATTTACCTTGCTTGCTTTAGAAGGCTGAGAGATCCGAACACAGAGGGGATACTCCTGGTGGGAAGATCTCTCTGCTGCAGGGTGACCTCTCTCCAAATGTCACCGCCCCGATTACCAGGAAGCTTCAGGGCCCCATTCCAAATCCCCTAATGATCCGGACAGCCTTGTATAGGAGAGCGCTAGGTTCTGTTGTGGGAGAAATTTCTCCCACAGTGTTATTCAAACCTGGAGACCAGCACAAAATTTCACTGATATCCATCTGGTTTATTTTCCAAACTGGAGCCAGCAAAGCTAACCTAAGAAGGGCAGGATGCAACTTACCTCTACAGAGTCGTGCAAGAGGTTTATTGAGATAATTAAGGCAGAACAAGGAAGTAATGGAGAACAGTGGCTTCTTTTTAGAGAGCTACTATTCAACGGTCCCTGGTTCCCAGGGCTCTGCCCACGATCTAGTAACCTCAACGTTGTTTCCTCAACGTTCCTTCACCCTCCAGGCCATTTGAGGCTGGGCTGAAGGTTGCTTGTTTCTCAAGTCCCTGGAAAGGTAACGAAGGGGGGAGGGAGTGCTCCAAACAGCATCATGTCTTCTACAGTATCAGGCAGCCCCTTGCCAGGGTTGCCTCTGCACATGCATTGAGAAGATCTTTGGGAGGCTTGTGAAGAGCCCTGCCTGAGAGGAAGGGGACGTGCACGAGGCAACAGGTTGTCTCTCTCACGTCCCTCCAGGTTTAGAACTGCCTCCCCCCCTCTCCCCCCCCCCCCCATTTTTAGAAGGCTTAAAAGATGGTTTCATTTCACTGGGCCTTCAGTTTATAGATTTAGCAGTATCCATCTTGGGCAGGGCAGATACATTATTTGATTAGTTACTCCTTTTATTCTTAAAATTTGATATGGTTATTTTTGCTTTTATAATTTATCATGTTTTGTTTATCATATAATTTATCATTGTTATAGTCTACCCATTACTTTTAGTTTTGAGAAGTCTTTAAAAAAACTATTACTGTTAAGAGCCATGGTGGCACAGTGGTTAGAGTGCAGTACTGCAGGCTACTTCTGCTGACTGCCGGCTGCCTGCAATTTGGCAGTTTGGATCTCACTGGATCAAGGTTGACTCAGCCTTCCATCCTTCCGATATTGGTCAGTAAAATGAGGTGGGTAAAATGAGGACCCAGATTGTTGGAAGTAATAGGCTGACTCTGTAAACTGCTTAGAGAGGGCTGGAAAGCACGGGGAAGCGAGATACAAGTCTAAGGGCTATTGCTATTACATAAATCTTAGAGTTTTATTCCCCCCCCCAATACTTCCAAACTGAGCATGGTACATTAGGATTTCTTAATGCATAAAAGTAAAGATCAACTTTACTTAAACCAGTCATTAAAATTATCTGTGTTAGGGAAAATTATATTTTGGAGTATTAGCCATTACACCTTTCTCAAACATTGCCAGTCTCCGGAAACTCTGGAATTCATAAGAAGCATTTTTTTCTAAAATTTGTATTCAGAAAGAAAAAGCTGCATATAAGTAGAAAAGCATATTTTAAACCTTGGAAGGAGGATGCAGGTTCACAATTGTATAGCTTTTCAAGTGAAATATAATATTGCCATTATACTGAATAATAAATTTTGAAAGTAGGTTAAAGAGCCCCGTATGCATATATGATTCAGTTCCTTTTTCTAAATGAGATAGCATTAAATGGGATGAAGATAATGTTTTATAAAAAAGGGGAGTGTAGAATAAATGGTTGAAAAAAATTAACCTCATTAATGCTTTGATGGAAAACACTCTTGCCTGGAAAACGTAAAGGTTGGTTTCCCCAAAGGTGATTGAACTTGCTTTCCTATCTGTGCAGGGGGCAGCAAAGCTGCCTGGCTTGTTCAAATGCAACCAGGACACTCTTGAGTGGATCTTTTCTTCCTTGGCCGTTTCTGTTTATCTGGTGCTATTTTCTACCAAATTTGTCTCACAGATTTAGAAGTATTGTAGATAATGAGACAAAGAAATAAATTTGTTACCATTTGTTTTAAACCAGGTGTAATAATAACTAAAAGATGGATGTTGAAAATTTAACATTTTATGGCTAAACTGGTTACAGTATCTACACAGTCTTGCATACCTCAAAGATTAAGATGTAAAGGAAATAATTTTACAGCCACTAATTAAAAAAGAACGTAGATATAGAAAGGTTTTCCCAAATTGGGCCTTTGCTTTCTCCTTGAACTTCTCACTAGATGGCGATCTTAGACTTTGAAAGCTGGTATCATAAGCTGGAAAGCCAAACCCTGAAAGACAGCGGCTAACCTGTCTTAATAGCAGCTTTTGAGCAAAACTGCAGTACATGAAAAGTTAATCTGAAACAAACATATTTTGTCCTGGAGACAAGCTAAGGAACCTACATTGAAATTCAGCAGTGCCTTTACGTGTTTGCGTAAAAGTAGGGAAGTGAGTTGAGTCCCAAGAGAGAAAAGGTGGTCTTAGGTGTAGGCTACCATTTTTGCTGTAGAACACATATTCTGAGGCATTTAGGATGCCAGTCTAATATATTTACCTCTCCCAAGACTTTTATTATTTTTATACATGAGGGATACTTACTTTTATATAACAGTTTTGCAGTCTATCCAGAGAACTTTGGTCATTAGACACATAAATATATAATAAATACATGAAATGTGTTCAGGTGTATTGTTAAATCCTGTGCTACTTTTTATTTGCTAGACACAGTTAAGAAGCTTCAGGATCAAAAGCATGACATGGAAAGAGAGATCAAGACCCTGCACAGGCGGCTGAGGGTAAGTCATCATGTTTGTTGGGCTGAGAGAGAGAGAAGGACTGGCCCAGAGTCACCCAGCTGGCTTTCATGCATAAGGTGGAAGTTGAATTCACAGTCTCCCTTTTTCTAGCCTAGTGCCTTAACCACTAGACCAAAGTGGCTCCTTATTTAGTCCAGTTACCTTCTTGTTCTATTCTGAAAGGGTTTGAAAAGAATGCATGTCTCTTCTGCAGTTCTTTATTCATAAGGAGCCACATAGGTCATTAGATCCCTCCTTTGGGTAGGAATCCAGAGCTGAGGGATGCTGGATGTCCCTAAGACCCCACCTGAGCACATTCACTGAAGGGAAACTGCCACCTCTCTTTATTTTATTTATTTATTTTATTTTACTTCAAATTTATATACCGCCCTTCTCCCTAGGGACTCAGGGCGGTGTACAGCCAAATAAAAACACATAATAAATACATTAAGAACAGATTAAAAGAAAATACCTCAATTTGGCCCAAAATTTAAAAAGACAAAGAAATTTAAAATCATTTAAAAGATTTGTTAGGCTTGTTGGAAAAAGAAAGTTTTAAGGGCACGGCGAAAGGCACGGAGGTCTTGGATTCTCCTTATCTCTGGGGGCAGCTGATTCCAGAGGGTGGGAGCCCCCACAGAGAAGGCCCTCCCCCTGGGGGTCACCAGCCTGCATTGCTTGGCTGATGGCACCCCGAGGAGGCCCTCTCTGTGGGAGCGCACGGGTCGATGGGAGGTCGTCGGTGGCAGAAGGCGGTCTCGAAGATAACTAGGTCCTATGCCATGGAGCGCTTTAAAGGTGGTAACCAACACCTTGAAGCGCACCCGGAAGACCACTGGGAGCCAGTGCAGCTCGCACAGGAGCGGTGTTATGCGGGAGCGCCATGCAGCTCCCATAATTACCCGCGCGGCCGCATTCTGGACCAGTTGGAGCCTCCGGGTGCTCCTCAAGGGGAGCCCCATGTAGAGAGCGTTGCAATAGTCCAGGCGAGAGGTGACAAGGGCATGAGTGACTGTGCACACGGAATCCCGATCAAGAAAGGGGCGCAACTGGCGAATCAGGCGAACCTGACAAAAGGTCCCCCTGGCAACAGCCGTCAGATGTTCCTCCAAGGACAGCTGCGTATCCAGGAGGACACCCAGATTGCGCGTCCTCTCCACGGGGGCCAAAGACTCACCCCCGATAGTCAGCGATGGAGTCAGCTGACTATATCGGGATGCCGGGAACCACAGCCACTCAGTCTTGGAAGGGTTGAGCTTGAGCTTGTTCCTCCCCATCCAGATCCGTACAGCCTCCAGGCACTGGGCCATCACTTCAAGGGCATCGCTGGGGTGGTCTGGGGTGGAGATGTACAGCTGGGTGTCATCAGCGTACTGGTGGTATCTCACCCCAAAGCCATGGATGATCTCGCCCAGTGGCTTCACATAAATGTTGAACAGAAGGGGCGAGAGGACCGACCCTTGCGGCACTCCACAGATGAGAGGTCTCGAGGTCGACCTCTGGCCACCTGTCAACACAAACTGCGACCAGTTGGAGAGAAAGGAGGAGAACCACCGTAACACGGTGCCCCCCATCCCCAACTCTTCCAACCGGTGCAGCATGATATCATGGTTGATGGTATCAAAAGCCGCTGAGAGGTCTAATAGGACCAGAACAGAGGAGCAACCCCTGTCCCGAGCCCTCCAGAGATCATCAACCAACGCGACCAATGCCGTTTCCATGCTGTGCCCAGGCCTGAAACCCGACTGGAACGGATCCAGATAGGACGTTTCCTCCAGGAATTGTGGGAACTGTCGTGCGACCACACTCTCTCTCTTTTTTTTTTTAATTGAAAAGTTTTACAAAAAGTTTACATATTTCCCCCCCCCTTCCCTACCCCAACCTCCCCCCTCCCCCCCTCCTCTTCCCAGAACAAATTACAGGGTATAAACTTCAACAATCATAATCAATCCTAGTCTAAATAATTATAACATTCCACATCTCTTGTTCCTTCAATTCCCTAATTACCCGCCTAGCTTAATTACTTAAAGACACACCAAATATCTATATAATCATTCATAACCTATCTGCAATTTCTTATTCCGATATTTATTTTGAATATAATCTATCCATCTTCTCCAGTCTCTTAAATATCTTTCATTTGAATGATCCTTCAAGTACGCCGAAATTTTTGCCATTTCCGCTAGGTTTGTAACTTTCATTGTCCACTCTTGGATTGTAGGTAAATCTTGCTTCTTCCAATATTGTGCCACCAACAGTCTTGCTGCAGTTATTAAGTTCAAAATCAATTTAGTCTCTATAACTGTACAATCCGTAACTATACCCAGCAGAAACAGCTGTGGTGTAAATTTCAACCTCTTTTTAAGAATATTTTGTAGAATCCACCAAATTTTTATCCAAAACGCTTTAACCTTTTTACATGTCCACCAAATGTGAAAATAAGTGGCATCCTCACAATTACATCTCCAACATTTTGGTTGTATATTTGGATACATACGAGATAACTTTTTTGGGTCTAGATGCCATCTATAAAACATTTTATAAAAGTTCTCCCTTAAATTTTGCACTTTGGTAAATTTCACATTTGTCACCCATATTTTTTCCCAAGTTTCCATCATTATTGGCTGTTCAAAATTCTGCGCCCATTTTATCATACGGTCCTTAACTAACTCTGTTTCCGAGTCCATCTCTATCAATATATTATACAATCTTTTTATGTGCATTGGGCTTTGGTCTCTAATTTGTTTAATTAAATTTTCATCACTTTGTATAACACCAGTTTTCTGGTCTTTTTTCCATCTGGCTTGTAATTGTACACATTGAAACCAAGTTTGAATTATTTTCTCCTCTTTCAACACACTCTCAACAACCTTCGCCACGAAGTGAAGGTTGGAGACAGGACGGTAGTTAGCCAATACTGCCGGGTCCAGGGAGGGCTTCTTGAGGAGAGGCCTCACCACCGCCTCTTTCAAGGTAGCGGGGAAGTGACCCTCACTCAACGAAGCGTTGATAATTCCCTGGAGCCAGCCACGTGAAACCTCCTGGGAAGCCAGTACTAACCAGGAGGGACACGGGTCCAGTAAACATGTGGTCGCATTAAGTCTCCCCAAAATCCTGTCCATGTCATCCGGAGTCACAAAGTCAAACTCTTCCCAGATAACATTCTCAAGACTATTCCTCGTCATCCTGCCCGGATCTACCCAGTCAGAGTCCAAATCCCGCCGGATCTGAGCGATTTTGTCATACAGATATCGTCCGAAATCCTCAGCCCTGCCCTCCAGAGGGTCCTCCCGCACTCCCGGTTGAAGCAGGGAGCGGGTCACTCTGAACAGGGCCGCCGGACGATTCTCTGATGACGCAATAAGAGCGGAAAAGTAATTGGACTTCGCCGCTTTTATCGCCACTAGGTAGGTCTTAATATGCGACCTTACCAGTGTTCGATCAGATTCGGTGAGACTGGCCCTCCAACCACTCTCCAGGCATCTTTTCCGGCGCTTCATCTCCCTCAGCTCCTCAGTGAACCAAGGAGCCGCGAGGGATCAGCACCGGGTCAGAGGCTGCAAAGGCATGACTCGATCTAAGGCTCCGCTAGCGGCCCGATCCCAGGCCGCCACCAGGTCCCCGACCGAGTCGTGCTAGAACCTCAGGAAATGGCCCAAGCTCCATCTGGAATCTATCAGAATCCATCAGGCGCCTGGGGTGGACCCATCTTGTAGGCTCCGCCTCCCTGCGGCGGGGTGTAGCCGTTCGGAGATCCAGGCGAAGGAGCGAGTGGTCAGACCATGACAAGGGTTCCATGTCTATATCCCCTATAACAAGGCCACTCAACCACTGGCCAGAGACAAAAATCAGGTCCAGAGTGTGACCCCCCTTGTGGGTGGGGCCATGAACTAACTGGATCAGGTCCATGGCCGTTATGGAAGCCATGAACTCCTGGGCTATCTCAGACGTCTCACCAACGGATGGCAGGTTGAAATCACCCATGACCATAAGCCTGGGTGTGTCAACTGCCACCGTGGCTATCACGTCGAGTAGCTCGGGCAAGGCCATTGCCACGCGGCAGGGAGCCAGGTATGTGAGCAACAGGCCCATCTGAGCCCCATGACCCCATCTCACAAAGAGGGTTTCACATCTAGCCGTCTGTGGCACAGTGGTTTCCCTCGAACCAAGATCTTCTTTAATAATAACCGCCACACACACACACACCCCTCCCCTGGGTCCTCGGTCTTGGTCTTCCATTCTGCTCTCAAACTGCTCCTACCAAAAGGGAGATCAGACCAACACAGGATATACACTGGAATAGGAACCGCTCCTGCTTTGGGCTTTTTGCTGCCACAGCGTATGCTGGATCATATTCAGTAACTGATCAACTCACAAGATCTTGCCACAATATTACTGTTAGATGAAAGATCCCTTTCCCTTGATCTCTGTCTTTCATTTCAACTTCACATTGTTTCTGTTAAACCCCATAGTGATATTTTCAGCTCGTTTCTCTAAACTGTCATGGTCTTTTTCAATGTTGTTCCTGTGTTCTGGGATCTATGCTATCTATTCATTGAATTTTGCTCTATTGCAGACTTTCTAAGCAGTCTTTCCACATCCTCATTCACATTGCTAATATAAACACTGAAGGGCCCTGAACTGAATTTTGTGCCACCCATTTTCCAGCTAGAAACTCGAGACTCCAGGCATGGGTATCACTCTGTCTTCTGGCTCTATGGACTGGGTTCAAATTGTAGAGATGCCCCCTCTTGATGACACTCCCAGTTCAACTCAGTCCTGAGCTCGTTAGGACATACTATGGGGTTCTCTTTAAAATTAATCATAGCAATTTGGCTGATAGGATTTCTGAGATGGATTAGGAGTTTGGTAAAGTATAGAAATTTTCACAGTTTGATTGTAGCCTTTGGTGAGGGTTGCTTTCCCCACGGCTTGTTTATGGCAGCATGGAGCCATGAACAGTAAGGAGGAAATGGTTGGGATTTCAGGATTGTTGGTCTGAACTATGTCCAGGAAGAGAAAATTTTTGGATTTGTTGTTTTGGCGCCAAATGGATGATGGGGCCTTTTTGTGGGAATTAAAAGAATGGAATGAAATGGTATGAAATGGAATAAAAGGCGAGGCGAGGCGATGCAGTGCAGGGCGATGCAGTGCAGGGCGATGCAATGCAATGCAATGGAATGCAATGAAGTGCAATGAAATGAAATGAAGTGAAATGAAATGCGATGCGATGGTGCCACCTGCACCCCATATCCTCCTGCGGAGGACATTAGAACAGATCAGCTCTTCTATCATGGGTAGAGACGATTCAGAAGCAGAAGGATTCCCAGGGTGCCTGGCCAGTTTAGTTTTGACAGGATACAGTAGTTACAGCTGATGCAGCCCAGAATTCCGCAGTTGCTTCATCACAACTGTGATCAGGGCCAGGGGCCCTTAGGGCAGCTAATTGGCAGGAGGATATGGGGTGCCGAGGCACCATTCTCGGTGTCTTTACGGATTTAGTCTGGGACTCCTGTTCCCGGAGGGAACCGTTCAGTATCACGGGTCTGATGCGTCAAGTTTGGTGGGCCAGTACGATTCTTAGAAGTACTGTTGTCACTGTTAGGGTTAGGATTAGGCACGATGATCTCTGGTATAGAGGTTGTGCCTGGAGCAGATTCCTGCACGGTTTCGGTAATGGTTCGGGCTCCCATTTCAGAGGAACGGTTGAGACACTCATCATGCCAGGGTTGAGGTTCCGGGGGACGTCTTCAGGACTACCCGTTGGTGCACTTATAGGCACATGATGCAGGGATGTTACTTATCGTCCAGGAGCGAATAGTGGTAACACAGGACGACAGTTTCGTCGGTTGGGAGCCCATTGTCTGGACCTGTGACCCAGAGACTTGGTTGTAAGCGGAGGCAGGCAAGAGTAGCACTAGCTGGAGAGGAAGAGGTCAGATGGCGCACTGGCATTTCAGAGTGTCTCCAAGGCTACCGTGTGCTTCCTATGACCGACTCTCAGGCAGTCAAGACCAGGTCAACAGACAGGGAGAAACTCGTTCTTAGACACTAAAGGCAGTGACGAGGATCCTCTGGCGTCTGGCTGGACACAACTGGGATCCATCAGGGCGGAGTGTAAGCAGGGCAAACGATATGAGGGCAGAGTGGTTGAGTAGGGCCCTTAGACCACTTGGTGTGGCATTTGCTTCTAGCGTGGTTCGAAGTGATTGTGATTTGGTTCGGTGGACCGCCCAGGGATCTCTCCACGTCGTCAGCATCCAGACAGATATCCCGTTGTTTCCCATGGTGCCCGATTCAGGGGGCAGCAAGGGTCGACACACTTTGTTCTCAGTGGCCCAGAGCCCACGGTCCGCTTTTTGCTCTGGCTTTCCTACTGGGGTTCTTCAAACCAGGACAGAGTATCCTGGACAATGCCACATTGGTCTTGACACCCGGAGGTCGTGGGACGGGTGAGCCTGTCGGTTGGCCTCCGCAGAGACTTCTGTCCGACAGGGTATCCCTCGACCAGGGGTCTTTTGGCCATCCAGAAACCCGGGGGGCTAATTTTGACCGAGTGGCGGTGGAGCAGGGACTGCTGGAGGGGCAGATCCTCTCCTTCAGCGTGCCCCGGTCTTTGTAGATGGCCAGACGCCCATTCACAATGTCCAATTCTGTTGCTACTTGAAAGGTGTTTAGTTATGGTGCTCCTCCAAAGATATACAGCCGACAAGGATAGTGGTTCCACTACTCATCGAGTGGGCAAGCAGGTGGAAAACAGGATTAGATCCAGCAATGCTAGGCAGCGCATAGCAGTATTGCAGAGTGCTGGGTTGTGGAGGAAGCGAAGTGATGACATTACTTCCGGAGGTCAAAAGCTTATCCGGAGGGCCACTAATTGAGACCGGCGGTGGGTCACAGCTATACCAACTGGGACACCAGGGGGGGTTTCAGCTCTCCCTTCAGCCCTTTTGTTTTGGGTTTGAGCTGTTTAGGATGGTTCACCTCAGTTCTTAGAGTAGAGACAGGGTTTTTTTTTCTGTGGCCCTTACATCGACCAGAAAGATATCAGAGCGGAGCACTTTCTCTGTGATAGAGGAGTGTTTACGTTAGACCTGGTCTTTAAGATCAATCTCACCTCCGGGTTTCACTGGGCACAGGAGTGGATTCCGCCATTCTTACTGTTATCCATTGTCTGCCGGAAAGGGGACTGGCAGACACTTGGGGTAAGCCGGGTCAGGAGGAATTTCATCAAGAGGACACAGGGGTTCAAGGTAGAAAGGACCCCTTTATGTCTTTTTTCCAGTCAACCAGGCGGAGGGAGCTCTCCCCTTAGACAGGGGGTGCTGGATAAGAGCTATAATTGCCTGAGCTTCGATGCTCAGTCTTTACCATGACCCAGAGGTGGTTAACACACATGCCATATGAAGGGCGGTCACGTCCACATTGTGGGACACTAGTGTATCTGTGAAAAGGAGCTGCAGAGCAATGAGTGATTCCGTCGCCATTCTTCCAACATTACCATATTGAAGCTTGGGTTTCGGAAGAGGTGGATTGGGGTCAGTGAGTTCAGCACAGTTTGGTGGAGACACCCGGACTGCGGGACCAGACGACTTCCCACCCTTGAGGACTGCTTTGGTAAGTCCCATGCCTGGAGTCTCGAGTTCCTAGCTGGAAAATGGGTGTTGGTCCTACCTGATACACCCCTTTTCAGTTGGAATGAGAGACTCCAGCCCCACCCTAAAAGACAGGGGTCTGGTCAGGGGGCGTTCGTGGGGTGTCGTTATAGGTGATGCGTATGGATCGGTCAGGTGATGCAGTACATTGTTGAAACTGGGAGTGTCATCAAGAGGGGGCGTCTCTACAATTTGAACCCAGTCCATAGAGCCAGAAGACAGAGTGGTACCCATGCCTGGAGTCTCTCTTTCCAGCTGAAAAGGGGTGTATCAGGTAGGACCAACACTCGTTCCCTCCAATTTAATAAGAACATTGAGAAGGACATGTCTGATTTTTGAGCGAGCTCCGAGCTACTTAATTGTCTCGGCATTCGGCTGATTTACATGCCATGGGATATTTTGTCAAATAGTTTGCTATAATCAAGGGCATTTTATCTATTGCATTTCTGCTACTAAGAAATTTCCAGATCAAAAAATAAGATTAATCTGGAATAATTTATTTTTGACCAATTTTTTTTGCTAATTATTTTTATTCACCATCTTGTTTTCAAAGTGTTTACCGATCAAATTCTCATCCTAGAGTTCTTCAAGGTATCTAGCTTTCTGACTGTTTGAAGTTTTGACAGCCTTCCCCAGGGCTGAAGTATAGGATTTTAAATTCACTCAAAATAACGATGTCTTCCTTCGCTCCACTGTTTCTCCAAGTGTTGATTGCAAACCCCAAGAAGAGGGCAAGAGTTGTTGGAGAGGGCAGGGTATTGTGATGAGAGAGTGCCATCCTGCCAGGTGTTCCCAAGCAGGCTGTCAATTGTCAGGCTTGCAGTCGGCAGCTGTTTGGGATTTCATTTCTCCCCCCCCTCCCCCAGCTGAGCACACAATCTCAAAAGATGCTGCTTCCCATTGTCTCTTCTGGTTGAATTGCATCCCTGTCAGGTCCCTGCCTGGGAATCCGCTACCTGATCCCTGCTTATTTTCAGGAAGAGTCTGCAGAATGGCGCCAGTTTCAAGCAGACTTGCAGACTGCGGTGGTCATTGCTAATGACATCAAATCTGAAGCCCAGGAGGAAATTGGAGACTTGAAGCGCAGGCTGCATGAAGCTCAAGAAAAGAATGAAAAGCTCACCAAAGAGCTCGAGGAAATAAAGTCACGCAAGTATGTTAATCAAAGTTAATTATCATCTATAATTTATTTATGGTAATTTCTTACATTTCTGAAAGCTGCACAGCACGCAGTTGTTGAGGACAAGAGCATATCAGATAACTTACAGGGGCTTTTTTTGCTAGATCTCTTAGAGGAGGTTTATAAAAACGGAAAATTTATTAAAATCCTTTCTTTTTTTTAACTACTGATAGTCCTCAATTTACAACTAATCACTCAGTGACCATTTGAAGTTACAACAACCCTCCCCAGGGCTACTTATGACTGGATTCGAAGTTCCCACAGCCACACAACCCCAGTGGTACACAATCATATTTTGGGTACTCAGCAGCCAGCCTGCCTTTAGGGCTGTTTGCAGACTTACATGCTCACGTCACCACAATTGATGACATTTTTTGGCGGAAACCAGCATTTGCTTCTGATTGCCAACAAACTCCCATTCTAGACATTCTAGAATTTGCTTAACGAGTGCCACGGAAAAGGTTGTAAAGTCACATAGTAACCTGCTTAACAAACATCACGACTTAATTCCAGGCTCAATTAGTGTCATACATTGAGGACTACCTATACAGAATTCTGTTGGGAACAGAATTTCTGTTGCTAAACAAAGTGCTTGTTAAATGACTTGAGCCTGATATTACTTTTCTTTCTTTTCTTTTTTTTTGCCATGTTAAGCGAATGGCTGCAGTTGTTAAGTGAATCACATGTCATTATATGAACCTGGCTTCTCCCATTGATTTTGCTTGTCAGAAGCCGAATGGGAAGGTCGCAAATGATGACCATGTGATCCTGGGACGCTGCAGCCATTGTTGTAAATAGATGCTGGTTGCCAAGCACCTGAATTTTTGTCATGCGACTATGGGGATGCTGCAACAGTCATAAATATGAGGAATGGTCACTTGTCATCATTGTAGTGCTGTTGTAACTTTAGAACAGTCATTAAACGAATGGCTGTAAGTTGAGGACGACCTGTAGTCCTCTCCAATCACTGGGCCTTTTTCCCCCACTCATCTTTTCTGACAAGAGATTAAATGGCAAGGCTGACCTTGGAAGCCTCTCCCCATTTGGACTGGCCCTGGGGCTATTCCTGCCCCACCACTCCTTTGTGTTTGCAAGAAGGAAAGCCGAGCCTAACTGAGAAAGGGGTAGCCCTGATCACCACCTCTCTTGAGTGGTCCATTCCCTTTTCTCTCTTCCCCACCCCACCCCACACTCACAGGACATGGGGGGGTCTTGGGCTTTGGATACATTCAGGCTGTTTACCGGAATGACTGAATTAGAGCCAACCAAATTTTCAGTGTTTTCTTCATTTATAGATTTTTCTAATATTAAATTTCTTCCTCTGGGGGAAAAAAAACAGTTGCTTAGTTTCTGTAGACTCAAATTGTGGCTGTTTAGGCTCATGCAGAACTGAAATGGAAAACGAAAGTAGCTATCACAATATAGTTTAAAGAGTGATTTGAAATCTTTGTTACACCCTGTAATGGAGAGCAGAGGGCAGGAGTGCTTGTGATGTGGCAGGATTGAAGAGGCACAAAGTATGCAGTGCTGCAAAGGTATGTGCCCTGCTGGTACGTGGCATGCAAGAACCCTGGACTAAAGCAAACGTGATGCTGTGTGAAAAGAAAGGTCAGCCCAAACATTGACTTTCTCCGAATTACTGAACTGAAGCAGACTGGAAAGGGCCACTTCACCTCGGAGCTGCCACCGAGGACAAGAGAGAGAGAGGAGAATAGCCAACATTATCAACAGAGAGATGAGGCTCCCCGTCCCAGTCTTCCTCTAAGGCATTAAAAGCTAATTGCAATAAGATCTTCTTTCCTTAATTTCACTAGAAAATTTCCCTTTTGATTCTTCGGTAAGAGCGTCCTGTCTGTTTTGTTTTGAAAAACATTTTTAACCAAGCCTGGATTTCTAAAACTTCTGCTCGTTGCCTCTGTACTGCTGGAAGAGGCCTTGAACCAGGGTCCTTCTGGACTTGAGGTTAAGGAGCCACCCGTACATGGAGACTATCGAAGTCAGAACCACCTCCGGAGATTCGGAACAGAAACTCCCCATTTGCTATGGAAAATTGGCAGTCAGTTGCTAAATATTTATCACAAAACATCTCTAGAATGTTAATGGCTTGTTATCTAGGTTTTTCTAATCTTCTCATTCTAAAAAAAAATGATGGATGTTTAGGACCTATGCATGAACATTATGTAAAGTTCAGTATTAGAAGTATTTTAGAATAGATTTGTGTCCCTTTCAAAAATTGTTTTGAAAATTGGTATTGCATAACAATCTGTTTTCAGAAATTGGGATAGTGATGGCAAAAGTATATATGAATGTGATGTCCCTTCCCTGTGACACCCTGTATCCCCATTTTTTCACCTCTTGGGAGCATCTGACTGACGCCTTGACAGTACTTCAAAGGATGAAAAAATCCTTCTTTGTTCCAAAATGCCCCTGTTTTGTCTTAGTTCCGTGTGTTTCATGTAATAAAAGGGATCCTGCTTGTTATTTCCCTTAAGATTTTTAGCCATTGAAAAGATGAAGCCATGAAGTAGTCCCTGCATCCTTCAGGCACACTGTATGATGCGCTAGTCAGACTGTTGAAAGTGCGCCTTGTTGGATTTCTTCTTACCATAGGCAAGAAGAGGAGCGTGGCCGAGTTTATAACTACATGAATGCTGTGGAAAGAGATTTGGCAGCCCTGCGGCAAGGCATGGGGCTGAGCCGGAGGTCCTCCACTTCTTCGGAACCAACCCCCACAGTCAAAACACTCATCAAGTCCTTTGATAGCGCCTCACAAGGTAATTTTTCTTTAAAGATCTGCATAAAATTAGTGAAATATTATACAGGAACGCCACATCAGACTCTTTATTGATGATAAATGTAGCTTTATTTTACGAGATGTATTTTGTTTTGTTTTCTTATGTTCTGCCTTTAATTTGTATGTCTTACTGTTCCCTATTGATTGTCTGCACTCTGCATAACCCTACTTAGTCCAGAAGGGTTTACAGGGATGAGTAGGTCTGTGTGTAGGAGTTACAGAAGAAAAGTGGCTGAAAGGAGCGGCAGCTCAAGAGGTACTTTCCAGTGGGACAAATGCCTTCCCAAATAAGATCATCACTAATTGGAATCTGTTTTAAAATAGATCTGTATTCTGTTGCAGTTTTTAAAAATACAGACAAAACAACTTACAACAGAGGTCCCCAACCTTTCTTGGCCCGGAGGGGAGGAGGAGTAGCCACACATGTGAACGGGGTCGTGAGCACCCACACGATGCAAACAGCAAGAGTGCCTGCACGACACTTGTGTCAATGCTATCACAAATGGAGGTGCGCGCACTGGCCAGCCACTCACGTGGCCAATAGGCCACAGCCCAGTAGTGGGCTCTGACCCACAGGTCAGGGACTCCTGACTTACAGCACAACAAAAACAGTAAGAACAGACCCAGAAACATTGCTAAGAAAGGTTATATACAGCCATCCAGTGAGTAATCTGTTTAAGTTCTTTTAACAAAGCAATCAAAAAGGAATAAACAAAAAATAATTTTCCAAAATTAAAGGAACTGCACATTTTCTGAACCCAGTCCTTGAAGCATGGAGCAATAACACCTTTTCAATCTCTTGGTGTAATTTACTTAGCTATTTCCCACAACCAATACGACCAAAGTTCCACAAATTTTTTTGGAATGTGATTAGAACATTTATCCACCTATCTAGTTATATATGCTACAGAAAGGAACCAGAAAGGAACCAGTCGCACTTCGGGCCAAATCATATGGGACAATGCATCATCAGACTTTTCTGTTGCCTACAAAGAAAATCTACACTCCGTCCTTTGGGGTGAGCATGGAATAAAAAATTTCCAAATGAGTTGATTTTCAACCTCAAATTCAAAGAAACAACTTGATACTTTTAAAGATTTGCATCCATTGATGTTCTATTATCAGATATTCCAGCTCTACAATATTCCATTCATCATAAATGTTGATAATTTCCACTTTAAAGATATTTTAATTTTCTGATATAAACACAAAAACTCCCATATTGCGTTCCATATCAGAAAGCTCTGAATGGCACTGCATGGGGACACACAAAAATATCCAGGGAGAGCTAAACTTCCTTGCCGGCCATATTTGTTTCTGTTTACTTGATATGAGAAAAGGTGGAGAGGGTTTCTGCTAGGTTATTTATGCCAATAGATATAAATCTGGAGCCGCTTTCTTCTTCTTCCATAGTTCCTGGTCCTGCTGGAGCTACAATCCCCCGAACTCCACTGAGCCCAAGTCCTTTGAAAACCCCTCCGGCAGCTGCCGTCTCCCCAATGCAGGTCAGTGGATTTACGGGTTTGATCGGGCCTTGCACAGGTTGGCAACAGTGATAGCCTTACACCAAAAAACAAACAGAGAATGTTTTTCGGGAAAGAGTATTATTTATCATTGGCTTCCCATAATAGTGGCCAAATAACATAAGTTGTGTACCTTCTGCTGCCTCTTTGGAGAAGCCATGACTGGTCACGTGGCTTCACGTGTCTCAAGGTCTCGTAGAGGGAACGGTCCACATATTTCTTAGGTTGCAAAGGGGACAGCCTTCTTTACTGAGCCACAGTTAGGAAAACAGTGAGACCCAAAGTAAGAAATGCTAGTTTAAAACTCCTTACAAACCCAGATTAACTGGAACAATCAGAATTGCAGTGCCTGAGATCAGAAATCGGGGAACCCTTTCAGCACTGGATTGTCTGAGAAGTAGAAATGGGGGCAAACCCGTTTAGCTTATTATTTGTTCCTGTTTCTGCAAGCACCCCTAGTCAGGAATACCAGCAATACAGGAAGTCCTTCTTTAACAACCAAAATTGAGGTGGCAAGTTGATTGCTTAGCAACATGGCCATTAAGCAAGACATCACATGAGCATAATTTTATTGCCAGCTGCTCCATTGCCTCTACACAGCCAACTGTGCAGATCTTGTGAGTGTGAGATATGGCAACAGTTGTAAATGTGAAGATTGCTCATAAATTACTTTTTCAGCAGTATGTAACTTTGAACTGTCACCAAATAGGGCTGTCATTAAGCAAGGACTATCTGTATAATACTTGAGAGATTGGTTTGCCCCCAATTGCTTCTGCCTACCCACCCAGTTGATTGGGTGTCCTCCGTTAAACGTTGGCATCTTGTGGGACCTAGGCAGGATGCCTTCTCTATTAAGGCCCCTCTCTCTGGAGCAGGATCCCCCCCAAAGATCATGACTTTCTCTCCTGAGGTTCCAGAAAGCTTTGGAAACCTGCCGTTGGGTCACTTGATGCTTGTTACTCGCTTAATGGCCCCTGTTTGGGTTTCTATATTTTGTTGTTTATTAGACTATGATAATCTTGACTTTTGGCTTTATTTAATGTTTTTAGCTGCTTTTATATCTTTTACAGAGCCCAGAGTCTACTGGGCTTGGGCAGCCAATAAATTAAAATAAATAATGGCTAAACAAGGCTTTGTGACCCCCAGGGTAGCCTACATCTGGTTTGCCTAACAGATTCCTGCAAAAGGTCCTTAAGGTATCAATTCAGTCTTCATCACTGTGACTGTGATGATTAATTACAATGTAATTAAAATACTCAATTACCCTCTAGGGCAGTGATGGCACCAAGTGCCCAAACTGGAACATGCGTGCATGTATGCATGTGCATGCACCAGAGTACCGGAAACCCAAAGACCGGCTAGCCAGCATGTGCATGCCTGTTTTCAGGGCTGTTTTCGGCTCGAAAAACGGTCTGAAAATCAGTCTGGTTTTTGCCCATTTTGGGGGCCGTTTTCAGGCCAAAAACAGGCCTGACAATGGCCCGGAAAAGGGCCTGTTTTTTGGATGCTTTCAGGCCATTTTCCAGCGCTCCGGCACCCACGAAGACCAGCCGGTCGGCACACTGGAAACCAGAAGAGCAGCTGGCAACGGCGCACGTGCCCACAGAGAGGGCTCTGCGTGCCACCTCTGGCATGCATGCCATAGGTTCGCCATCATGGCTCTAGGGAATCTTGAAACAAGGTCTCCAGCCAAGCTAGTGAGAGACCCACGACTGAGAGTCCAGCATAAGCTGATGGCTTGGCTAGTTTTGAGCCTGATTACTTGCTCAGCTAAATCATAATGACCTACTGGGGTTAGTGGTGCCTCTCTTGGAGATGTGTTTACAGTTCAGATAGGGGCATAATATTCAAGTGGTGAATGACAACAGTTGAGATTTAGCAAGCTGGTTTCTTTTCTCAAAAATAATTTCCCCCCCCCCTTTAGAGACACTCCATCAGTGGACCAATATCTGCTCCTAAGGCGCTTGCAACGTTATCAGACAAAAGGTCCAGCTATGCGGAAATTCCAGTTCAAGGTATGAAGCGTCTTTTGCTATGAACATCACCAGAAAACATTTTTAGAAACCTCCAGAATCTTCCGTGGGCTTCAGCTGGGAGGATCTTTGCAGAAGGCAGATCAGCTCCACAGCTTTACCTACCTGACTGGTAGCCTGCTATATCTTTCTGAGACCTGGCTGGGCTGAATTGTGGTTTGTTGCCTGTCTCTGCTGGACCCTTCCGGAACATGCGAGTGGTTTGTCTTTGGAAGCATCTTCCGATGATGGTTGAGCCCAAAGGCGAGACACTTCACTGCTCCAGTGGGCAAAAGGTTCCCTCAGCCAACTCCCCCATGAATGTTTTAAAACCATGTCAATTCCTGGAGTGTTGCTAAAGTTGCCTGTTTAGAAAAACTTTGTGTGGCTTTGTGCATTTTATCACTTCTCTTGGAAAATAATCACATCGGGACAGATCCCTTCTGCCCTATGCTGAGGCTTTCCTTTTAGGACATCTCATATTGATGAAGATATTCTACTTTGAAAGTGGATGGGATGAGATCCCAAAAGCTGTAAGAAGCGTGTTTTGTGTTTTACCAGTGGAGCATTTTAGAAACCGTCTTCTCTCTGCACATATGAACAAGCTGCTTTTGAAAGATTATTCAGAAGGGCCCCGACTCGTGTGTTTAATGAGGGAAAAATCCAAATTCAAATTTTCCTTTGTATAGAGAATTCTCCATACCACACCTGCACAGATCTCGGATACAACCTACTTTCCTTATTCACGTTTGCTTCTACTGGGACAGTATTTCTTGAACAAAAAAATGAGACGATAGTGAACTAGAATGTTTATTTCTCCATTTCCAATATTTTTCTGGTGCTTGGTAGGTTTACTTATCAACTTTTCCTTTCAAAGGCCCCTTCCGGTAAGAATGAATGGTTCTCAGATCTGGGTGTAGCTCTTTGATTTATGGCTGGGCTTTTTAAAATAGACTTTCACAAGAATAGTTTTCATGTGAACAAGGAATAGGCTTCCTTTTGAACTTGGACAAGTAACAGCAAAGCATCAACAATAGAAATTCTTTCACGGCTTAAAATAATACTTTGTTCTAGTCTTTTTTAGTTGTTTTTTGAATGCCATTGGCATTATTTAATATACATGGGAAAGTAAATTGGAATCCAAATTAGTGTACTGTATACAGAAATGGGAAAGGGCCCTGCCTGCCAAACCCTTGCCTCAGCAGCATTTCCTTCTGCCCCAGATCAGAAAATACTACATACCTGGGTTTTATGCAGCATCAATTGGTTTATTTTACCTAACCACTTTTATCCCATTCTTTTAATTGAAAAATAATTTTCAGTGTTATTTAGAATAAAAGCATTCCAAAATTAAAATTAAACAAATACAACGCAATGAAAACAGGGTGATAAGCTAGAGAAAAGAAGCTACAGTATGCATGCTAACAATTTAAGACATAATCAGGTTCTCAGTAGAAGAAAAGTATATTCAGTCCATGGAAGAATATATCTGAGAGAAAAGAAAAGCCAATTTTTGCTTGCAGAGTAATTTCCCAGCCAAGTTGCAGCACCAGAAAAATTCTGTCTTGCAGCCCAAGTGACCACTTCTTCATAGCTGAAGGCAGCATGATTCTCCCCTGCAGACTTGTTTAAGTCTCATGTTTGAGACCCACCACATATGGAGCAGTAAACCAGCTTGCACATACATGCACATATGCGCATGCACACAAGTACTCGGTCTTTATTGTATTGGGTCATCCACTCTGCCACCTCTCCCTAATCAGGCCAGAATTGTGCTGAGATTGAGGTGACGTTTCCTCATTCCCTTTCTGTACAGATCATTTGCTGAGAACTTCTTCTACCAGCAGACCAGCTTCTCTGCCAAGAGTTCCTGCTATGGAAAGTGCTAAATCGCTCTCTGGTAATAATGGGGTAATGATGGGTATTCTTCATATACTATGCTATGAGCACCCTTAGAAAATGTACATTATATACAAATAGGACTTCTGGATATGTTGGTATGAAGGGCCACTTCATTATAATATCGGTGATTTGTGAAATAACGCATAGAAATGGGCGAATCTCAACCTTAGCTTTAGTCTAATTCCAGTGAGCACAGTTAACGGGTGGTTAGGAAAATGGTTATTGCTATGTGATATTTCTCTGTTTGCAACTGGACAGAAGAAATGTAGATGGTTTAAAGCAGACACAGGAGATTCGTTCCTTGCCAAACACATTTTGAGATGTTGTGTGTGGATTAGAACTTCTACAACTTAAGATCTAAATCAGTAGAGTAAGTGCAATGAAATAAAAATGGTTTCTTTATGAATAACAACTTAAGCCCTTAGTGTATGTTGCTCCTTTGACCAAACTCAGTAGTGGCAGCATCTACTGTGACCAGGGTGGGGTTGTTAACAGTACCAAAATACTCAGATTGCAAATGTAGGATCTGGTATGAAATTGAACACCAGGCTTTCCAATTTTCCATCCAAGTGTCTCGCCGAAGCAGTGAAGAAATCAAACGGGAGATGACTGCTCCCGATGGAACATCTCCAGCCTCCCTCGTAGCAATTGGGACTGCTTCGCCACAACTGTCGCTCTCATCTTCACCAACAGCATCGGTCACTCCTACAACACGGAGTCGAATAAGGTACAACTCATTGCTCCTTTCCATTCGGGCCCTCACCGGCAGAGCTAGTGAGGTTTGTCACTGGGACCCCTGGTTGGGCTTCCTAACTCTGAGCATGCCAGCAAGGGCTGACTGGCATCTGCCTCGCTGCTTGGGAGCATGTCTGTTGGCCATTGTCACAACATTTACCGGCCTTTGCTTGCGTGCTTTTGAAGGATCTCCTTGGCTGGATGCAGGGCACTCTCCCTCTTGCTTCTGGCTAGTTGTGTTAATCCCCAGCATGGAGCAAGAATGCCCCTCTCTCTCTCGTTCCTGCACCCATTGAAATCCAGTGCTGCATGGAGTGAATGAGCTGAGTAGTATTACACCCTGTGACTCCTTTAATGGTGCATGAAGCATATTTGGATACTGCAACAAACAGCAGTCTGAGAAGACAGCAGTAGTCCATTGAAGGGAACTTAAAACATGCGTTTCTGCTCAACTGCTTTGGTACTCTGAGAAAAAAGAAACTTTTCATACCTAACTCTCTTGTTACACTTTTTGGGAGGAATTTTGCACCTTGCATAGTCCAACCCCCCGTGCTTTGCTAGGTGCAGTTAGAGCAGTCTTCCAATTAAGCACCCTTTAAAGAGAACATGGTGGCAGCGGCAGCAGCAGCAGCAGGAGCCCTTGAGGAAGATATTCACCGTTAAGCAACTCTCCACACTTGCATTTACAGCCACCGGCCGTTTCTTGAGTTGAGTCTCTGTTGAGTTGCTTTTCTACATTATTCTCCCATGTCGGGCAGGAAAGATCAGATTAAACTGATTTATTGCAATCATGTCAGTACACAGGAATATTCTCAATTAATGAGTCAGTACCTGCTTGGATCCATGTACTGATGTTACTTTGATTCAAACCAGCTTTGTCCAGCTTGTAGTAAAGCACCCTAGGTTGACAATTGCACTGTAAAGAATAGATATTTTATTTTGAGCTAACCAAATGTAAATTCATAGTGCCATCTGATGAAAGGATAGGTTATTAAGCTATTTCTGTATATTTACTTAATATATTAGTATGGATGTTAAATAATTTATTAGATATGTAAGTATTAAAATAAGGTTATCCTTAGAAATGAAAAAAGTATGCCTAAACAATATGCTAGTCAAAGTCTCTAATGCCAGCATAAAAAACAGTTAAACTGGTTTGGGCTTGGAATGTAGCTGACCTAACAGACAGACTCATTTATAAGATTAATATTTGTTGTAAACCACTTCTCATTGTGTCCACACAGTTCATTTTATTTGTTTCCTGAAACATTATTTTCAAAACAAAGAACTTGACATAAAATGTGTTCCTCTCTGGAATTTAGAAACAAGCTGTACTGTTCTTTTGCAGTGTTACGGGTGGCTAGATTTTTGTTTTCTTTTTCAAGAAAGATTTGGTTTAGACTTTAAAAATATTCTTAACGTGTAGTTTATGTTCTTACATCCATAGGTATCTAGTTAAAACTATCAGTCAGACCCATAGACGAGAAAGCTCGGCAAAGCAGTGGTAATTCTAGGGAATCCTTACAGAGACATTGAAGATCTTTAAGATTACAGACCGACTGAAAATGGGTGCAGAATGAGAAAAAAAAATGGGTTTGAACTGGGCTGGGTAGGTGGGAGTGAGGAAACCCCACACCCCATAAAACGTAACACCTGCCATTTCTTAAATCATATTTTAGCGTGCTGGCGACTGTTAAATAGTCTCTGCTTCAAAGTAGGGAAAAAATGATCAGGCAAGAGAAGGATGTTGAAACTGAGAGAACTGCAGAATTATGAAAGTTGAAAAAAACAGAGGAGTGGTATTTGCAGGTTTTTCCTTTTGGTGGGGAGAATGTAATGCTTTTGTTTATGTTGAAACATTATGTTGAAACAATTTTACCGCTACTTGAAGACTTATACTATATTTTCCATGCATTTCCTTTCTGAAAATGGCAAGGAACTAGTGGGCCCTGGAAGTCAGATTAGCCAGCACATTTTGAAAATAAGAGGATCTACAGAAAGCATTATTTAGACTTCTGGTTTGTCAGGTGAGATATGACAACTTGCAAATCTTGGTTTTGAGTGTTCCTACATCTGATCCTGATGGACCCCTATTGGAAGCACTGCATTCTTTGTGGATCAGCAGTTAGTTTGTGGTTACACTTATAGAGAGAGAAAGGTAGTCCATACAAAACAGCAGAGAGGCAAATGTGGTCCTTGATTCTTCTGCTTTCAGTTGCAGGTGGATTTTTATTTATTTATTAAATGTATGCGCCGTCCCTCTCACCAATATGGCAATTCTGGATTTTGCACACCCTATAGAAGATGTGCATCAAATGGAAACTGCACTTCTGTAGCATTCAGAGGAAATGCACTGTGGTTCAGAGGTTCAGCCCAGGTGGATTGCAGTCACACTAAAACCTGGAATATTTGACTGGTTTGGGCTAAAAAAATCCTAGAGGAATTTTACCAGCAAGCAGGACAGTGCTGAAGCACATTCTCCCCTCTGCATGGCCCCTGGGCTATCCTGTCTTTCAGTGTTTCCGGGATCTTCCTTTCCCTTCCACTGTGCACCATCACATGTATGAATTCAAGCCCAGCACATCCAGTTGGCTCTGTGGGAATGCACGGGTGATGCTGGGAGCTAAGTCAGGGAGACGAAGGAAGGCACCGTACCAGGGAGAATGGGTGAGCTGCAGGCATTCAAGGCTGTGGCATGGTACAACCTGCCGCAGCCAAGTCATTGCAAGTCAATTCACCATGGGACTAACTTGCCTGGGACAATTTAACAATTTAACAATTCTATTTAATTATTTAAAACAAATAAATAAAACTGTTTTAATCTTTGTCATTCACATTTCGTTCTGTCCCTCCTTTTGCATCCTTTCTTTAATTCCACCATTTCTTTGATATTAGTGTAACTCTTGTCCTGCAGTGAGTTGGCCGTGGCGAATTGTGTCACAGTGAGTTGGCCGTGGCCAGTTGTCATAGGCCTCATCCAAGGGTTGGCATTTTCCTTGTCTCCCCTGTGCCACCTTTTCCTATCTTCCCACCTGCCTCCTTGTCCTTCAGCCTGAATGCTTCTGTTCTGGGTCCATGCCAGTGCCCAAGATTTGTGTCTTCCTGAAAAGGGCCACACATAAAATTTTGCTCATCCCTGGTGAAATACAAAAAAGTCCAGTTTTGCAAAGAGACTATAACAGGCTTCTTGCAGTTCTCTGCCACTTCCGAAATTGGGCGATAGAAAACAGTTCCCTGAAGACTAACCTTTCTCCAGCTAGAGCTGCAGGAAGTGTAGTATCCTTGGCCGATCCCAGGAAGCTTAAGCAGACCCTAATGTGATTGGTCCTTGGCGGGAAATGTCAAGGCTGAAGGCTGGATTAAGAATTGGAAAAGTACCCTGGAAAAGGCAGCAAAAGTGGTATTGGCTCATCCCAAACACTGTCGCTAATGGACGGGCACACTTGGGCCTCTTCCTTGAAACTGGAACCATCTGACGGGATTTGAGATGTGTGCCTTTCGGTTAGAGACCCCCCCCTCCCCCCGAGCAGGCCCCCCCCTCCTGATACATGGTTGGCCCCAACCCAGTTGACCTTACGAAGGCATTCCAAGCCTGGAGCCCCATCTGTTTCTCAACCATGGCCATTTGAAGGTGTGTGGACTTCAACTCCTAGGGGGAATTCTGGGAACTGAAGTCCACACATCTTCAAGTGGCCAAGGAAGAGTGGCTTATTGTGGGTTTTGTCTAGAATTTTCATTGGGTTTTCATTTCATTGTTTATTTTGCTTTCTTGCCTTTTGGTTTATTGTAAAGTACCTAAAGCCACAATGTTCAGGTTGTGTGGCATTTAAATGCCTTACATAAATTAAAATTAACTTTAAAAGAAAACAGCACAAATCATGAAGACTTGATTGGATTTCCAAGTTTGAAATAAATGGATTTTGGCAATAAACAACCACCTGCTTCTCCTGTTCATTTCCAGGCAATTGGCACAGGAGAGGGCCCTCCTGGATTTGGCCACGGCACTGCCAGATGTCTGTACATTTCTGGTCCTGAAAGCTGTTATGCATTCCTTTCTTTTTTCTTAAAGGAAAAGGCCTCAGTTATTTGAGAAAAACAAGCCCTATGAAATGTGGGATTTCTGTCTCAAACTGTATCCCCTCCCCCACTTGTCAGCACATGCAAGGCCTCCTGGGACTTGAAGCTCAGTGCGTCTGGGTAAGGCTCTTAGGGGGGCATTAATGCTCCAGGGCTGCTGCCCCTCCCAAAAGAATTACGGCCCATCGGTCTGTGCCTGGTTCCTGCCTCGCCTTGGCTTCTTGGCCAGAGAACAGGGGGGCCCCTGGAGATTTCAGGAGGTGAGCTGTTCTTTTCCACCCACTTGCCTTGCCTCGGTGGAAAGTGTCTCAGTAGTTAACGCCCCAACTGGTCAAGGTGACATTCTGAAACAGCCAGGAATTGCAGGGAGATGTTATCAGTTGATTCTCTAAACTTGAATTAAAGTTTAGGAACACTTTATGTTTACATCTCATGTATCAAATGCTTCTGACTGATTCTATGATTATTAAAAAAAATGCCCGTTCTGCCCCCATTTCCCCAAATCTGCCCCGGTGTGCTGAGCAACCCACCCAGCCTGGCTGCAACCTCTTAGGCAAGGGCGCTCCTGGGTGGCAGAAGGGGTGTCCAGGGCCTTCTGCCCAGGCATGGCACAGCACACAGGTGGCACGTCTCAATATTTGGGGGACTTTCATTGTGTAAAAACTGTTCCTTCTTTTCTAGAGAGGAGAGGAAAGACCCTCTGTCTGCCCTGGCGAGGGAGTACGGGGGCTCCAAGAGAAACGCTCTGCTGAAGTGGTGCCAGAAGAAGACAGAGGGCTATGAGGTAAGCGTGGCTGGGCATCTGCTTGGAGCACAGGTGGGGGGAGAGCCAGGCCGAGGGCAGAGAGGCTGTGCCACACTCCGCCACCTCCACCTTGGGGGCCGGTATGTCCTGTGCCTGCAGGAACAGATCCTGTGCGTCCCAGCTGAACAGTTATTAATAGCTACTCTGGTTACTTTGCACAAGGTAAATATCTTTTCTGACAGAGTAGCTGACACTCCTGTTCCAGGAGGTTAAAATCGCTGTTTTTTCCTCACATGTCTGTGAAGAGAAAGAGTGCAGAACGGAACCTCTTGGTGGGAAAAAAACAAAAAGCAGCCGAGACTTGGAATAATCTCTGCTGGTCTCTTAGACTGTGGAAGTTTATTCCCTGCTCAAAAGAATCACAGTTCTCTCATCCTTTGCTCTCCTTTGGGTTATTCAGAAAGAGGGCCTGTGAACCATTAAAGCTGCTCATTTTAATCAGTGCTATCAAAAACCCGGAGATGCCGAAGCTGAGGGCCTGCTTCACCTGTACCTGTACGGAGAGGTTTTTGCTTCTGAGCATCGAGCCTCAGAGAGTCCCTTGGCAGCTTTAAGCAGAATCGCTCCCTGCTGTCTCTTCTCTGCCTGTCTCTTCTGTTTCGACACTTGTGGAATGAATCTTGGCGGGGGGGAGGAATGTCTGTTTTTTACACTCACACTCCAACTTGGTTAGGCTGAAAACTTAGCCATGAACAGTCTAAGCTCGTTCTGCCTAGATAGGTTTATTTTTTTGAAGAAATAGAATGATTATTTAATTTTAAATTCCCAAATTAGATTTCAGTAAGCCTTGTGCTCATTATTTTTGCATGTTACCCAGATTTTCTAAATTTTGGTATTAATGCTTTAAATATGCCAGGTACTGTATGCCAAGCAGGTTGGTTTTATAAAATTTGTAATTCAGATGGAAGACTTCAAGGATTTGTTCAGGAAATGTAACTACTGATAAATTCAGTTACCAAATTGCTGCACAGCCAGTCTGGAAGATTCATGGCAATTCATAAGACAAAGGTAGTCCTCAACAGCACCATTTGTTCAACAACCATTCAAAGTTATAGTGCCACACAACAAGTGGTACTTAAGGCCGTTCCTTGGGGTTGTGGCCATTGCAGTGTTCCCACAGCCATGGGATGAGATGCAGGCATCCGGATGTGGCAGCAATCACACGATTGAAATTTCTGACATTCTCTGCTGGCTATCCACAAGTGGGGAGGTCATAGGTCACTGGCAAATCCTCACTTAACAACCCATGCACATCTCAGTGACAGCAATGGGAACTTCTGGAAGTGCCATAATAAGCAGCATGGTCACATGACATTGCCCTTGATGATCGCATCACTTAGCCATGGCAATTGCGGTCCCAATTGCTGTCACAAGCCTATTCAGTAGACAACAGAATGTCCACAGTAAAGAATTAGAATAAAAATAATATTTCTAAAAACAACCAGAATCAGCATTCAACAATACAGTGTAAAATGTTTTGCAGTACAAATCCTCTTTGGATCACTTTGCAGAATTCTCCAACCTTTCTGGTTTTGCGGACCGGGGGGTGGGGGTGGGGGTGGGGGTGGGAGGAGGGATGGTTCCACATGAGCAGCCGGCAACCGAGCACGTGCTCAGCTCCATTTGTGGGAATGGCATGTGGCGTGCACGCTGCTCACGCGAATGGAGCAAACATGCACATGCTCACCCACCGCTCATGGAAGCGGGGATGCACGCATGTGCACTCGCCCGCTGTTTCCGTGGTCTGGTTGCAAACACCGCATGGCCCACTAGTGGGCTGTGGTCCAGAGGTTGGGGACCCCTGATTTAGTGGAATGACATTAATTAACATATGTCCTCCCTGTTGTTATCTGCTTGTTGGTTGTGAGGTCACTTGTGTTAGAAAATGTTTTAAAATATTTATCTTTCATTTTTATCAAACAACCCTGAAAACAGTTAATTGCATCATCTTAAAAATCAGTGAAATTTGAATAATAGTTTCAGATTCTGTTAAAATGGCCCAAATGGAACGATTCTTCTGACTTTCCAGGCCCATCAAATTGTTTATGCCACATCCTTAAATGCTCCAAACTCATTCCGTAGCCAACCTGCAGGCCCCGATTGCTTTGCCATTCATTTGCCTGGTTGCTTGGTATTTTTAAGCGGCTGCCATTCTGGCCAGGGTTTTTTTTTTTTTTTTTTTGTTTCTGGAGAGAAATCTCAACCTCATGCAGTTGTTGGTCAACACGTCCTCCTTTTTGCTATAGAACGAAAGAATAGACTTTTTTCTTTCTGTGTGTGTCTGTCTATCTGTGTGGGTGTGGGTGTGTGTATCCGGCACCATACAGTTACTGTACAGTTTTGCAAAACTATTAAAAATGTAACCTGTTTGTTGGGCCTCTGCACTAGCCCCTCTACTAGCATTAATACTACTACCCAAAGAGGAATTTAATTATTGTATATTTTCCTCAGTATACCATAAAGACAGACTCCTCCTAACTGCCACCGAGTTAGTAAACATGTGCCTGATTTCTATACCATAAATATTTACTTTGGATGTATTCTGCTTCATTTCATAATCTCAGTGCCACTTGTCTAAAATGGTGTTTCTGGCAGATCTGACACCAGTTAGATAAAGAAAACTCTGTTAGGAAAGTACTTAAGGAATTAATGACAAGTTGTAATTGTTTGTTTTTTATACTTTTGTTTTCTTTAACGAAGTCAAGTGGTTTACTGTATTATGAATCCCAAACAGGCACCTTAAAGAGGATTATAGGGAGCTAAAGTTGAAATATTGAGGTGTGGTGAACTCTGTGGCTTGGAAAAGAGGGGGGGGGAGACAATTCCAAAGAAATCTGACATCACTTGGAATCATTTTATGGGAAGGGAGTTGAGTTTCTCTGCCTTGTATATTTTATATTTAGATAGATCTTTTTAATCAAGATATGCCTATAAAAAGATTTATTCATAGTTTTTTTGGTTTTGTTCTATTTCTTTTTACACATGTGTAACTGTAGATGGTCCAAATTCAGAAAAGTGTTCATTTATTTCTGGAGAATTTGTTTTTTCCATTTACATCGTGACTACATTTTCCCAGCCTTTAGTCAATCTGCAGCCTCCATTAAAGGGCAGTTAATCCACCGGTTTGTTTCTGCAGCTATCAAATGTCGCTGTAGTTTTCTGATATTCTGACATTTCTATTTACAATAGAAAGGAACAAACAGAATAATATTGTCAGAGAAGGATTGTCTAGCTAACAAATACATAAACCAACCTGATAGTGGAATTAATCCTGCATATAGAGAAATACAATTGCTTACCGTGTATTGGTTGGCAATAGTTACCTATACCGACATTTCTGTGCTGACAAATATATTTAATTGAGAAAAAAACTTAGCAACTTGTGTAGACGATTTCTAAGTGGTCTCTCAGCAAAATGTTAGAGACCTCATGCCTTGGTGTTTGAGCATCACCCAGAGAGAGATAAGCCCTCAGCATTTAGTTGTCGGTGACTTAGCAAATTGAGCAAACAGTGCCATGGATGGTAGCAAGGTTGCCGTCAGTCAGCAGTTCTTCCATAAACCTGTAACGTTATTACAAGTTCCTTTGCAGAAATCTTCATCTACCTTTGCTTGCTTAGAATTAACGCTAAGCATAGTTGGGCATTTGCCAGTGACCTTAAATAGTTGAAATGATCTCATATAAATTCCCTGATCAGGGGAAGTTTACACCCTCCCAAATGTATCAAGAACCTAAGTCATGTCCAGGGCTGCCAGAGGTTACTGACTATGGCAGAGATCCCACCGGATGGGTTTGAGCGCTAAGCATTTTCTCACCATCCACGAGACAAACGAAATCAAGTGAGAACCCTGTCCACATCTTGCTTCCCAGCCCCTGTATTTCTAAGAATACTTTGGGGGTGGGGGGGAGCCACGTTCAATCTTTTTCAAAATTCCCATTGTGTATCACTTTCAGACTTCTTACACACAAGCCGTAGATCTTATAGTGATCAGAGGGATGGAAGGGATCTCTTCTCCGCTGCTCTTCTGGGGCTTTAATTTGATTTGGGAACATCCTGTGTGCAGAGTTGCCTTGGGAGAGAAGAAGCCAAGTAGAGACGTTTTCTGTGACAAAGCAAAACAAGAGAAAAGTGCAAAACTGAATGGCTGAAAGATGCTCTTCTTCCATAAACCCGACATGTTAACTCTACTTCTATAAGAGTCACAATTTGCTTGATAAAACCCTGAAGCCGCAGGGTGTGAAATGATGCAGAGAGAACCTGACACAAGGGCAGGGGAGGGCAGGAGGATGCTTGTATGACCGGAAGCTGAGAACCCCAAAGAAAAAGAGAAGGAGCCAGTATTCCTCCTAGGGCATCGCAGAGGGCAGGGCAGGGAGGCAGAGCATCCCTTGATCCAGAGACACAGTGGGGATTTTGAAGCAGACAAACATCCATCCATCCAGGATGCTCCAGTTTGGTTTCCCATTCTGAGCAGGATGCAGATTGGCTTTGATTGCTTAAGTGACTCTCTGATACTTGGAGGCTAGCAGCCCATGCTCCTCTTCCTCTCCCTCCGTCCCTCCCTTGTTTTTATTTGCTTACTGTTCCATTTTATCTTTGGTTTTGGGTCTAAGAATATAAGGCCCTTCCTCCTAGAAGACATGCTTTCTCTTACCTGCTTTGGTTTCCCCCACTTCAGAATATCGATATCACCAACTTCAGCAGCAGCTGGAACGATGGCTTGGCGTTCTGTGCCGTCCTCCATACGTACCTCCCGGCACACATTCCCTACCAGGAGCTGAACAGTCAGGACAAGGTACGCTACCCAAACCTGCCCATGCCAGGAACCTTCTTTCTGGGCACAGCCTTCACAGCTCCCTTTGTATGCCTGCAGTTCTTTCCTCTTAGTATAGGCCCAAGAGGAACTAGGCAAGGCTGCAGCCCAGTCATTTCCCCTTGACCTGCATCCTAGCAGGCATCCCGCTTGGAACAGACTGGAGTGATTGTGTTCAAGGGAGGCTCTGCAAATATGCTTATTTATTAAATTTACATGCCTCCCATCTCACTGTCACTATCCAAAGGGACTCTGGAGGTTTTCATTTAAAGAGAAGAGCAAAAAAAAAAAAAATAATGATAGGGGACTAGAGGCTAAAATATATGGAGAATAGTTGCAGGAATTGGGAATGGCTAGTTAACTGAAAGAAGGAGGAGGGGTGATACAATAGCAGTCTTCCAAAACCTAAGAGGCTGCCAAAAAGGAAAGGGGGTCAAGCTATTCTCCAAAGCACCAGAAGGCAGGACAAGAATCAATGGATGGAAACTAATTAAGGAGAGAAGCTACCTAGAACTAAGGAGGAATTTCCTGACAATGAGAACAGTAACAGTACCAGAGTTGGAAGGTCATCTAGTCCTCCTCACACAGGAGACGAGGGATTTGAACTGCCAAACTGCCGACAATTGTGAGTGCTCCAACACTGGAGGTTTTTAAGAAGAGTTTGGACAACCATTTGTCTGAAATGATACAGGTTTTCCTGCTTGAGCAGGAGGTTGGACTAGAAGACCTCCAAGGTCCCTTCCAATTCCGAGGGGTTCTTGGTGCTCTCTGGCCTTCCTTGTTTTCTTGCAGACGTTTCATTCCCCAAACTAGCACCTGTGATGTTACGACAAGCAAGGAGCCCTCAGGTGCAGGTAATGCTTGAGTTACAACCATTCGTTTAATGACTGAAAAAAGTGACTTATGACTGGTTTCCTCACTTATGCCCATGGTCACATGATGAAAATTTGAGCGCTTACAACGGCTGCATTGTCGTGGGGTCACGTGATCACCGTTTGTAACTTTCCCGGCTGGTTTACAACAAAGCAAAATCAGTGCCAGATCCACATAATGACCATGTGCTTCACTTAACAACTATGGCAAAAAGGTTGAAAGCAGGAGCAAAACTCACTTAACAGATGCTTTGCTTAGCAACAGAAATGTCGGGCTCAATTGTGGTCGTTTAGTTTAGTTTATTTGATTTGTATACCGCCCTACTCCCGAAGGGCTCAGGGCGGTGAACAGCCAAACAATAAAATACATAGATACATAGGTCGTAGGTTGAGGACTATCTAGCAGTGATTAAGAGGGAAGACCTTTAAGCCATTTTTTTTTTTGTATTTAAGTTATTTGCTGTGCAGTTACTGTGACTTAACTCTATTTCAGAGAAGAAACTTCACACTGGCTTTCCAGGCCGCTGAGAGTGTTGGCATCAAATCCACTTTGGTAAGTCTGTGCAAAAATAATTCCATTTGTGCCAAAATGGCAGTTTTAGGATTGAAAACTGTGTGAAGTTGGGGAATGTGAAGGGCAGCCTCTCCCCCCCCCTCTCTCTTTTTCTCCTCCATCTCTCTTCCTCCCTCCCTCCCTCCCTCCCCAACCCAGTAGGAAGACCTGATGGCATCACAAGCCACTGCGCTCTTTGCAGAGGAGTGCTGAAGCCGGTTCACACAGACCAGTAGCACAGGCTGTCTGAATGCCAGCCAGGCCTTTGGTGTAAGGAAAGCAGCCCAGCCCTGACCTGCTTTCAGAGACAGCTTCTTCTGTAGCTGAAAGCCTGCAGAGTTTTATTTATTAATGTAATTACTTCCATAGACAAGCTTATATTCAGAGGGGAAGAAGTTACTTCTACATGACTGGCATCTTTTTATGTTTCTGTTTTTTTCTTCTTGTTTTCTTGGTAGGATATTAATGAAATGGTACGAACGGAGCGTCCAGACTGGCAGAATGTTATGCTGTACGTCACAGCAATTTACAAATACTTTGAAACCTGAGAACAGGAATAGTGGAGAGAAGCAGAAACTCAAGACTGTACCCTAAAACCAACTGGCCTCTTTTGATGGACCCCTCTGGTCAGTTTAGTTACCAGAATGATTGGGCAAACTCAACATTAAGTGTTAACGAAGATTTCGTCCTTTCTTGCCAGAGACTAAACTGAATATAAGCTGCAAAAAGCACAAGGCTAAAGAAGGTCATCTGATTGTATCACAAAGACTTTCTTTAAAAAGTGTTCCTAAAGGTTCAGTAAATATTACTTTTGTGACACCCCAGTGCTCCCCAGAGCAGAAGAAGCGGCTTCTTGTAACCTCATCAAAGCCATTTGAGATCATCTCCGTCTCTTCAGTAAAAGAAGTGCAAAGGTGCCTTCTCCTTGCCACATTCACCTGACTGCAGGTGCTGTCCCACCAGGGCTGTGCGCAGCCAAGGAGTCCGTGTCTTAAGGCTGCCTCTTCCGAGGTTCGATTGTAATAAAGGCCCTGCCTCAATTAAAGGGAGGGATCTGGGAGAGCAGGCAAATCAGCCCCAGATTCCAGGAGACAACCATATGGAGATCAGTTGACTTTTCCTTGGGAAGAACTAACTTCTTTCTTGGCTTTTCTTTTTGGTGGTGCTCCGGATAAGTTTGTTTCAGATGAAGAGAATGTTTGGGTCACAGGACAGGATAAGCTTTTCAAAAACTGGTCAAGATAAAGTTCTTGCCCCTGTGGGGTCTGCAAGTGGCTTTGCTTAACTGCTGCTCCTGTATATGGGTTGAAGGAAAAGCGGCTTCTGGGGCTCTCCCTGTGCAGCTCTGCAGGCTGTTGGATTAAAACTGGTTTAATAGGTGATCAGGAGACGGAAGAAAGACTTTGGATCTCCGCCTGGGGCTTTCAGTCAACCTGGCCCAACCCTGTGGGGGGAGGCGAGTGCCCCACCTGACCCTGGGGAGAGCAGCAGCAGCCTCCAGGACCAGGGAGCTCCAGGGAGTGTCTAGTGCCCCCCCCCTTCCCCGGGAGGCCTTGGCAAAGAGGCAGTGCTAGGATTTGCTGCTGGGCAATGAAATAAGGGATTTCCCCCCTTCCATGGAGGGGCCAAGTGTCAATCTGCTCACGCCAGAGGGAAAACCCGTTGCCTTTTGAATACAGGTCTGTTACCTTTGTTTGCAAATGTACTTTGCTTTTCCCACTTAACATAATTTTGCATTCTTCGATGTGCCTGGCAAAGGACTTTGAATGTTGCCGGTTTGTGAGCTGTTGAGAATATAATCCAGTTCCACAATTTAGCCTCGAAAACGCTCTGGACAGGCATTGAAACCAGACTAGGTCTTGCAACTAGTCAGAATGAACTCTGAAGAATGTAGCCAAAAAGTTTTCTTGTGCCTCATGTATGTCATTCACAGCGCGAAAACATTTTACAAACTGCTCTCGTCTCTAAGCTGCCTAGTGGGTTCCCCACTCCAGTGCTCGATGTCTGTTTCTGGTTTTCCTGAAGGAGCCTGCAAATACCAACAAATTTACCTTGGGATTCCTTCCGTGGAGATTCGCATTGGAGGAAATACATGGGGAACCTGCTCTACGCCTCTCAGCATTCTTCTGTTTGTCTTAAAAGGAGCCTTTGCACCAAACGGTGCCCTGGCCATCCCTGGACTCTCTGGAGGTGGTGGTGGAAGGAAGGCGGCCTTCGTCTCTTCTTCCAGAGTCTAAATTATGAGGCCTTGTGTCCTGCATCCGTCCTGTCCCCCCCCTCCCCACAATTGTATTGCATCCTATAGGACAATGATGGCTAACCTTTTTGCCATTGTGTGCCAAAAGTGGGGGGAGTGTAGGAGGGTCGCGTGTGCGCGTGCCCACACCCATAATTCTATGCCACCCACCCCCCTGTGCTTGTGCCCGCTCACCCCGCTTTTGGCACATGATGGCACAGTGGGCCCGGTAGGTCCGTTTTTCGCTCTCCCCAGGCTTCAGAGCCTTTCTAGGAGTCTGGGGAGGGCAGAAAAGGCCTTTCCCACCCCCCACCCCCGGATGTCTTCCAGAGGCCAGAAACAGTCTGTTTCCTGACTTCCGGTGGGCCCCGAAAATCAGCTGGCCAGCGCACGCATGCACGCCAGAGCTGAGCTTGCGTGCCCACTGATATGGCTCCGCGTGCCACCTGTGGCACACGTGCCATAGGTTCGCCATCACGGCTATAGGAAGACATATATTTTTCTTCTAAGCAGATGGCAACTCATTGTAGCCCAGCAACAGCGAGGTGAGTTTTATACAGGAATCACTCCAGGAGTTCTTGCTCTGGCCTTCAAGGGAGGGAAGGAGGTCTCGGTGAAAGGGAGATGTGCAAAGAAGCAAAGCCTGGAGAATGAAAGGCATAGAGAGCAGGGGAAGAAAGCGTCTGACTTGCTTTCTGGCAGTGACGATCTGTAACTTTTGATAAAGATGGGATTATATTAAGATCTCACCAAAAAATTATTTTATCAAGGAAAGCACTCAAAAGGGTGAAAGAAATCTAAAGAAGTTCTTACTCTACAATAGAAGAATGTTTAACAGGGAAGTTCTTTGTTAGATTCTTTAAATATTCTTGAATTCTTTAGCCATCTTCTAAAAACCAACTAATTTATGTAAAGATATATTCTTGTTACTTTTGTCTTATTAAATATTTTGAATATGCGATAAAAAGGCTGCTCTGCTCAATGTTTCTATGTTTCAGTAAATGCTCCTGTAGGTACCTGTAGGTAAATGCTCTTGTATTTTGATTTTCCTCATTACTATTTGGGGAAGTTTTACCAAGATGTCTCAAAGGGAGGGGGAGCGGAAGAGAGAGAGAGAGAGCGGCCATGGTGAACTAGAGGGGAGGCCTCTTTGTCCAGTGGGAGTTCAGATGGTTCATCCTCTTCCAACAAGAACAGGAGTTTAGGCAACTTATGGTCTAGCTGCCTTGGGCTATCCCTGCCATGGGGGGCCTCACACACACACACACACACACAGGCCCCTATTTGGTGGCCATTCACCTTTTCTCCTCTCCTGGAATTAGATCATTGTTGTTTGTGTGTGGTTACTGAGGAGCAGTCCCTTCTCAAAATACTTCTTCCTACATTGAGATCCCCACGTAAATTGTATTACCATGCATGGATGATGGAAGCTAGGGGAGACAACTATCCAGGGAGGGAGGCATCCCTTTACCACAAGTCTCACCTGAGCACTCGAGGAAAGACTAGGCTCAAATATAACCATACACACACACACCCCGTGAGTCTGCTTTTTCAGGGGGAGCAGGTATGACTGCATAGAAATCATCACCAACCAGGAATCCCTCAGGACTTCCCTGGTTTCTTCATCTTATTCAAAGCCAGAGACTCCCATAGAGTCAACACCTCTGATGACCAGAGGCATAAACATCTCCGGGTTATCCCATAAAATAATATCCAGCTCCAGAATTCCAGTTGATCCTACCTGGGACCTTCAGAGGAGGCCTGGTAGACTTCCATATCCCCAAGGCCATGGAGAGAAGGTGGGCCCTCCCAAAGTTACGTTCTGGCATCTGCTCTTAAGGTAGGAAAGGAAGACGACAAAGCCTTCCAGAGGTCTTGAGAGGGGGAAGGCACATTTTTTTCTTTCTTTCTTTCAGCAAAAAGTCCATCTTCCAACCAGTAATAAATGTAATTATTGTCCTTCAAATCAAACAAGGCCATTTTGCCATCTCTGCTAATCCTGTCCTCTTCAGCAGCCATTCCTCCATTGTGGGCATTTCAGAGTCTGTCCATTTTTATTTTTGCATATGCCAGTAATAATCTTGCAGCAGTTACCGTATATAACAGTCTCCCATAACTCTTTTCTAATTATTGGTCCGTTAGTCCCAACAAGAAGATTTCTGCTTTCAAACTGAATATTAATTTTTTAAAATGCTTGTATTGCCCTATATATTTGAACCCAAAATGTTCTGGCTTTTAGCAAGTCTACCGGACATAATATGTCCCTTCATGTTATCCATATTTCCAACATAAATGTTAAGTACCTTTGTACATTCTGAATAATTATTCTGGAGTCCTACATCAACTACACTCTGTGCACAATTATTAGGCAATTATTGGAGGATTAATTTTGTTATTGAACAACACTAGTGGTCCAGTGGTCAATCCAAAATGTTAATAAACCTCAAACCTGAATATTTAAAGTAAAAGTGAGTTTATGGCTTTCTTAGAATATCTATGTGTGCACAATTAATGTGTGCACTATTAGTGTGCAGAATTATTATGCAACTAAATGAAAAAAAATTTTCCATTCTCATTTATTTTCATCTGTTAAAGTGAGATGGGTTGGACACGACTTCGCAACTAACAACAACAGTGAGAATAATAACTCACTAATACCTTGGCCATGTCTCTGAGCACTGAACACCTTGTACTTCTGGCCACTCCAGGTAGGTTGCAGTTCTGGAATATGAGAGCCCTGGAGGATAATGGCCCCTGGTAGCTTCAGGTTTGATTCTTCTCAAATCTTTGGCAGTTAAGGTGCATCTTTTTTTCTCAACACATTTCTTGCGATCCTGTTGACTATTTGCAACAAAACGTTTGATGGTTCTGTGATCACACCCTCAATATCTTAACAATTTCAAGAGTGCTGCATCCCTCTGAAAGACTTTTTACAATTGTTGACTTATCAGAGTCAGTTAAATTTCTTTTTTAGCCCATTTTGCCTGAGGAAAAAAAGCTGCCTCATAATTATGCACACCTTGATATAGGCTGTTGATCTTAGGCCACACCCTCCCTCATTACACAAATACACATCATCTGATCTGCTTATATCCAGTAAGCATTCAGGTTTATACAGCTTGGAGGTGGGAAATATGCATAAAAATGATGATATGGTCAAAATACTCACTTGCCTAATAATTGTGCACATGGTGTACATCCTTTTATAGAAGTTCTCTTTTAAATTAAGATATAAATTTCAGTCCTTTCATCCACACATTTTCCCATTGTTCTATCAGTATATTATGCCCAAAGTTCTTAGCCTATATTGTCAGTTTCATTTGTTGATCTAGTGTTTCAGATTAAAATTAGTGTATATAGAGTTCCATGGATACAAAATATAAAAAACATAAAATTACAGACTATAATAATGTCAGATAATGGGTCCCTTGGGCTGGACAGCCCTCAAGGTGCTACTAAGAGAAGCTGAGGCTCTTTCCGTACTTTGTCTTGGCTAGATTAAAGCCTTGGGGATGTCTGGTTGCTGATGCTGCCAAATGTTCACTTCCAGGATTCTGGTCTCTCTTTTGATGCTGTAATGCTCCACTGGAAAGACTGACAAAACTTTCACTTGCACTTCCTGTTCCTTCTCCATCCTTCGCAAGGACATCTACTCAGGGTCTTTTATTTCAGTGTCATTTTCTCTGTGTTCTCCTTCAAGAAGCATTGGGAAGGGATCGGTATTTGTGAGTTCAAAGAGTCTCAGTCGTCCATCCCGCACATCCTGCAGTGGACACTTAGAAGACAGCCCACTCTCACTCTCACTGTGTTGTGTCAGGTCTTCCCACCAGCCTTGGTGGAGTCATCCCCTGCAGTGTTCCTCTTCTTCAGAGATCCTTGGATTTCTTCAACCCATGGAGGGGTGACTCTTCCACTTTCAAGAAGACAAGATTCCCGAGGTGGCTTTGGATTGTTTGCTAGAGCCTGATGCCAGTTGCTGAGCTGTATCAAACTGAGGGCCTCCTGGTCTTCTGACTTTTCCAGATCAGACGCTTCTACATCTTTGGGTTCTCTGGCATTTATTTTTTCTGCCCCTCCTGAGGAACTTCCTCCCTCCAGGAATTTCATCATCTTTAGTTTAAGATGGGTGGACTTCAAGATGCAGAACTCCTCAGCCAGAAAACCCTGCCTTAATGTGTTACAGTTTAGAAACTTTTTAACCCCCTTTTCTTTCTCCAATAAGGACAAATGAGCACTTTCCCTGAGAGAAGGACAACCCAGCAAATCTGTAGACCATCATGAAGCTTATTTTGTTTCCTCTGCTGCTTGGAGTTGTTTGAAGTCCTCATACTTTTCCTACCAAAGTCCAAAGTCCAATGCACAACTCACATTTAACAGAACAACAGAGTTGGAAGGGACTTTGGAGGTCTAGTCCACCCTCCTGCTCAAGCAGGAAACTCTATACCACAACAGAGGTCCAATCTCTTCTTAAAAACCTCCAGTCATGGACCACCCACAATGGTTCTGTCAGGAAATTTCTTCTTTCTAGGTTGCTTCTCTCCTTGATTAGTTTCCATCCATTGCTTCTTGTCTTACCTTCTGGTGCTTTGGAAAATAGGTTGACCCCTCTTCTTTGTGGCAGCCCCTCCAATATCGAAACACTGCTATCATGTCATCACTAATCTTTCTTTTCATTAGACTGGACATACCCAATTCTTGTAATGATTCTTCATATGTTTTAGCCTCCAGACTCCTGATTGTCTTTGTTGCTCTTCTCTGCACGCTTCCTAGTCTCATTTGCTCAAATTTTTATCAATGGTAACCAATAAGGATAACACAACTGATACTGCTTCTCCATCATTCCCTCTTGGCTTGATCTTAACAATAAGGATAAACAAAGAGCCAGACAACAGATGCAAGCAATTTATATACACCGTCCAGCCTCAGTAACTGAAAATCCCCCAAGCTTGACTGGTGGCTGCTCTGGACAACTCTTCAGATACTGCTACACTTGGGGTGCAATCTCTGCACAGATGCAGGCATTTCTTTATAAAGTGCAGGACGAGTAAATCACGGAAGATAAAGGTTCAGACCATTGCCCAGGCATTTTTCCCCACTGGACAGGATCTTCAGGTGCAGCGGAGGGCAGTTAATCCTTTATGGCTCTGGCCCCAGACTGAACCAATAAGTAAGCAGCCAGAAAAATGGGCTCTCCTTAAGAGCAGCCACCAAATAAGAATGCAGCAGGCTTTCTACTTTGGCTTCCTTGTGAGGAGAATAACTCGGTCCCATCCAAGACCGAGGGGCTGTGGTTTCCGGTGTCCCGATATAGTCAGCCGGTGCCATCACTGACTATTGGGGGCGAATCGTTGGCCCCCACAGAGAGGGCTCACAACTTGGGTGTCCTCCTGGATTCATGGCTGTCTTTAGAAGAGCATTTGACAGCTGTGGCCAGGAGGACTTTTTATCAGGTTCACCTGATTCGCCAGTTGCGTCCCTTTCTGGATCGGGACTCCTTACACACGGTCACTCATGCCCTCGTCACTTCCCGCCTGGACTACTGTAATACTCTCTACATGGGGCTCCCCTTGAGGAACACCTGGAGGCTCCAACTGGTGCAGAGTGTGGCCGCGCAGGTGGTTATGGGAGCGACGTGGCGTTCCCATGTAACACCTCTCCTGCGTGAGCCGCACTGGCTCCCAGTGGTCTTCCGGGTGCGCTTCAAGGTTTTGGTTACCACCTTTAGAGCGCTCCATGGCTTAGGACCCGGGTACTTACGGGACTGCCTGCTGCCACCAGTCTCTGGTGGCCGCCTCTCACTGGCCAATACGCTCTCATAGAGAGGGGCTCCTCAGGGTGCCATTGGCCAAACTGTGTCGACTGGCGGCCCCCAGGGGAAGAGCCTTCTCTGTGGGGGCATCTATCTGGCATGACCTCCCCCCGGAGATACGGAGGATCTTGGATTTACGCACCTTCCGCCGCGCCCTCAAGACCTTTTTATTCCAACAGGCTGGCCTGGCCTAACCTCCCTTTTTAATTTTTA